CACAATAATTGTCTGTCTATCCACTGCTGGATGAACACTTCCCCCCCCCTCCACCCCGTGTCGTCCCCATCATGGTCCAGTGTTGGTTCCATCAATCTCACTCGTGCCCGTGAAATGATCTCAACGCTCCATCGCCGCGGTGTTTTCCCACTTCGACGCGTTCTTTCCTATATTCACTCATTTCTAATTATATAATGTATATATATAATAGAGCGGATTCCATTCTTAAATAAGCGTGGTGCAGTGCTCAGATTCATTGATGGCCCGGAGCCAGTGGATGACCTCCACATTCCTATGGTGGGGGCTAATATTATCAAAGGGACAATGTATCGCAGAAATAGAGGACCTCTACATTTTATTAAACAAGGTAAGAAGGACCTGAGATACAAGGTTGAGTTTATTATGGTGGCTGGTGAATAATGAAGTTGGGAATTGGCCAGGAGATAGCAGCACCACAAATAATTGTTGAATCCGTCTGTACCGACCTTTGAGTGTTGCTCTCTCGTTTGCATGGTTTTCTCCAGGTACCCTGGGTTTTTCCCACTTGCCAACAACACGCGTTTAGAGTATTTGGCTGCTATAAATGTCCACGTGATAAGCCACTTCGTTGAGCTATCATTTGTGATAGCCATGTGGCTTCTAAAAAAAAGCTATATAGCTCAGTGGGCCAAACATGGTAAATAAAAAACAAAATATTTTTCGATTTAAAGCTTTCGTGACTGCAATGATTCTTCTTTGGTTCTTTCGGTAAAGTCACGTAGAATGAGAATAAAATAATAAATTGATAAAATAAAATAACACAATAATATTCTCACGACGTTTCGGCTTAATTATTTATTAAATAATAAATTTATCAATTTATTATTTTATTCTCATTCTACGTGACTTTACCGAAAGAACCAAAGAAAACAAAATATTTGTTTAGTTTAAGCACTCATTCATTAATGGGATGGGCCAAACGTCCCAATCAATGCAGGACCCTCGTGAAAAAAGAGTCTGGAGACACAAGGATACTTTCATGGTAACAAAACAATTATAGATGAATTATTATTATTGATGATGATGAATTTATTAAGTAATCTGCTGGGACAGGCTTAGCGGAGATATAAATTATCATTAAGTGTATATTGGCTTTGACTATAAAGTAAAGTAAGGTAGCTTTGCAGACAGAAATTGATGTCGGCAGTGAGATTTTCACGTGTAAATAAAGCGGATCATTATTAGGTTTATGAAGCTTTAATTATCATAAACACGTTTTCATTCGTATATGGGATTTGAACGCCGAAAATATGAACAGGCAAAATTTCACAGCAATGTATGTTGATGCAATGATTTTGTAAGTGCTTATACAATTCTCTTGTTGTGAAATACATTAATGTACCCGTATCTAGAACGAGTAAATCATCTGGGGAGATTAATGGAAATTGTTTCTAATTAATTGGGTGTTTGATTCAGTGCATTAGTAGCAAAGTAATCAGAGTGCACAATTCATTATTTGCACATTTTACACCCGAGTACTTGCGGTGCTGAGATGAAACTCACACCATCTACAGCTTTGTAATTTGAAGTGATTAAATTTTTAAATCTGCTTCAAATATATAAAATATATAATGAACACACCTGTCATTAACTCTGTTGGGTATTTACTGTGGTGCACCCTCCCAGCTTTGGAACTCCCCACTGGTGGCCCCCTAGATGTGGAACTCCCTACTGGTGGCCCCCTAGATGTGGAACTCCCTACTGGTAGTCCCCTAGATGTGGAACTCCCTACTGGTGCCCCCCTAGATGTGGAACTCCCTACTGGTGGCCCCCTAGATGTGGAACTCCCTACTGGTAACCGCCTAGATGTGGAACTCCCTACTGGTGGCCCCCTAGATGTGGAACTCCCTACTGGTGGCCCCCTAGATGTGGAACTCCCTACTGGTGGCCCCCTAGATGTGGAACTCCCTACAAGTGACCCCCTAGATGTGGAACTTCCCACTGGTGGTCCCCTAGATGTGGAACTCCCTACTGGTGGCCCCCTAGATGTGGAACTCCTTACTGGTGGCCCCCTAGATGTGGAACTCCATACTGGTGGCCCCCTAGATGTGGAACTCCCTACTTGTGGCCCCCTAGATGTGGAACTCCCTACTGGTGGCCCCCTAGATGTGTAACTCCCTACTAGTAGTCCCCTAGATGTGGAACTCCCAACTGGTAGCCCCCTAGATGTGGAACTCCCTACTGGTGGCCCCCTAGATGTGGAACTCCCTACTGGTGGCCCCCTAGATGTGGAACTCCCTACTTGTGGCCCCCTAGATGTGGAACTCCCTACTGGTGGCCCCCTAGATGTGGAACTCCCTACTGGTGGCCCCCTAGATATGGAACTTCCTACTGGTAGCCCCGTAGATGCGGAACTCTCTACTGGTAACCCCTAGATGTGGAATTCCCTACTGGTAGCCCCCTAGATGTGGAACTCCCTACTGGTGGCCCCCTAGATGTGGAACTCCCTACTGGTGGCCCCCTAGATATGGAACTTCCTACTGGTAGCCCCGTAGATGTGGAACTCTCTACTGGTAACCCCTAGATGTGGAACTCCCTACTGGTACCCCCTAGATATGGAACTCCCTACAGGTGGCCACCTAGATGTGGAATTCCCTACTGGTAGCCCCCTAGATGTGGAACTCCCTACTGGTGGCCCCCTAGATGTGGAACTCCCTACTGGTCGCCCCCTAGATGTGGAACGCCCTACTGGTGCCCCCCTAGATGTGGAACGCCCTACTGGTGCCCCCCTAGATGTGGAACTCCCCAATGGTACCCCCCTAGATGTGGAACTCCCTACTGGTAGCCCCCTAGATGTGGAACTCCCTACTGGTACCCCCCTAGATATGGAACTCCCTACTGGTACCCCCCTAGATGTGCAACTCCCTACTGGTGGCCCCCTAGATGTGGAACTCTATACTGGTGCCCCCCTAGATGTGGAACTCCCTACTGGTGCCCCCCTAGATGTGGAACTCCCTACTGGTGGCCCTCTAGATGTGGAACTCCCTACTGGTAGCCCCCTAGATGTGGAACTCCCTACTGGTAGCCCCCTAGATGTGGAACTCCCTACTGGTACCCCCCTAGATATGGAACTCCCTACTGGTACCCCCCTAGATGTGCAACTCCCTACTGGTGGCCCCCTAGATGTGGAACTCTATACTGGTATCTCCCTAGATGTGGAACGCCCTACTGGTGCCCCCCTAGATGTGGAACTCCCCAATGGTACCACCCTAGATGTGGAACTCCCCAATGGTACCCCCCTAGATGTGGAACTCCCTACTGGTGGCCCCCTAGATGTGGAACTCCCTACTGGTACCCCCCTAGATATGGAACTCCCTACTGGTACCCCCCTAGATGTGCAACTCCCTACTGGTGGCCCCCTAGATGTGGAACTCCCTACTGGTGCCCCCTAGATGTGGAACTCCCCAATGGTACCACCCTAGATGTGGAACTCCCCAATGGTACCCCCCTAGATGTGGAACTCCCTACTGGTCGCCCCCTAGATGTGAAACTCCCTACTGGTGCCCCCCTAGATATGGAACTCCCTACTGGTACCCCCCTAGATGTGCAACTCCCTACTGGTGCCCCCCTAGATGTGGAACGCCCTACTGGTATCTCCCTAGATGTGGAACTCCCTACTGGTGGCCCCCTAGATGTGAAACTCCCTACTGGTGGCCCCCTAGATGTGGAACTCCCTACTGGTGGCCCCCTAGATGTGTAACTCCCTACTGGTGTCCCCCTAGATGTGGAACTCCCTACTGGTGGCCCCCTAGATGTGAATCGCCCTACCGTTGGAGATGAGGCTCTCGAATAGGGTTGGCATCTCTCAGACCCGACGCAAAACACACCCTCTCTAAGTTTGTCCTCATTACTGTTGTTTCTCTTTGACTCTTGTTCTGCCACCCGATTTTTTTTATCTTCCTACCTTTCATGCATGGCGCTTAGACATGTTTTTGCGTAAAAGGCACCTCATATTTGCAGATTATCATTAAACCACTGACATATAATAAACTAATCATGCATATTGATAGAGCGATGGCACAGTGGTGAGCTCAAATAATATCATGAACCCAGTTACTCGACTTTATTCCTGGTCACCTGAATTGGATTTCCGGGCCACGGCTAACATCAGTGGCGAGTGATATCCAAGCCGTTTCTTAGGCGTACCGTACCTCGACCCTCCTCCCCCTTCTGCACCATCCCACACTGACCCTAGTGGTGAAGTATGATCTAACTACCACCTTGACAGCCACAGCATGGGGCGGGGGGGGGATCACTTCATCCAGCAGTGGATTGACAAAGTGTCTGTAAAATACGACATCTCTTTATTTATTTTATGCGACTTAAGCACCCACCGTTGATTTCAGATTTGACAGAACTCGAGGTACTCGCATATCATGGACACTAATTTAAAAGGGTAATCTCAACGTAATATTATCGTAGGAATCAAGGTGGAAAGCGCTCCAAGCTCATTGTACAGGGTAGGTCCAGATGTCTTGTGACGCCCAATGAATTGACCCCTAACGACTGTTTTTGTTTGTTTCCTTAGTATATTCATTTCTGTTTTAAATAAACCTTACCTTAAAAATATGTTTATTACGTTTCAGACAATTTTTTTTTACTTGGGTCACAAGACATCTGGACCAGCCTGTAATCCGAACGAAAAAATATATATTACTCGTCGAAGAACGCCGTGCGGCACAAGAGCCTCCTGCAAACAGCCTCATGGGACTCCAGCGAGGCTTGCATATTGCGGCGGACACGTATGGTGCCCACTTTCTTTCGATGGAGACCACGCTGTTTCGTGTGGCGTCCATGCAATGTAGAACAGCGGCTGGATCCCACTGCCGCGTGTACTTAGCAATGAGCGTCGGCGAGGTGACCGCAGGCTGGGCTCTGGGAGTCCCCCCCCTCCCACCGTGTGTGCCCCCTGCCCCCGCTGCCGCCTGTAACGCCAGTGGCTTGCTTATAAAAGAGAGGTAGGGGGAGGAGCCGCACGCGGTACTTCGACATTGACGGGAGGCTGTGACTGCAAGAGGGTTCCGGTGCGTTCCATCGTGCAGTGTTTGCAGGTTAACATCCACGCCGGAGTCATCAGCATCGTTCACATCTTTCGCAGTCACCGCCACTGTCATCGGCGTCATTACGACACTATAATCATGGTGTTGATCTTCATCAGTGCGATTGGCAAAGTCATGTTCGGCACCAATATCGTTCCACGATAATTAACGTCAGTATCAGCACCAACATCGTAAATACACTTTTCTCTAATAATAACCATCATCATCACCATCAGCATCATAACACCGGCACTTTAATACTCAGCACAGTATTATTAGAATCGTCGAACGCATCATCACAATCACCACCACCTTGACCATCAATACCCTCCACTCTAATTCACATCATCATCATCATCTTCCAAGGGTCAGCATTACAATAATTGACATCATCTGTTCATCTGGTGCTCAGCGCTCCCATTCGCTGTCGGTCATTCTCAATGACGATGTCGGTTGTCTACTCAAAACTGTCGTGGTAGGAGTCTGCAACCCACGTACAGGGAGAGCGTTATTTCAACACGGACTGGTAAGGTGATTTACAAATTGGCCCTACGTATCTCGACAATGTGATGCACCGGTGATGTGTGCTGTGACGTGTTCATCTGAATGTTGTGGTAACTCCACGGCGGTGACCCCGTGCATGAACGCACACGTTTTATATCGAATGTGCCGGTGCATACAAAATTACGCGCGCACACAGTGCGTAGATATATACTGTATCGTGCAGTCTGTATTGTTTCAAGTGGCTGCAAGTACTTATGACATTTGTGGTCGCTTAACTATGTATTCGTGATCCTGATGAAAGTATAGGGGGAGAGACAGAGAAAACCCCATCGAATGCAACACTCATCGCATATTGCAAATGCGAATATTTAATGATGTATTGCTGAATTGTAATTGTTTCCGACGTACTATGTGTTAAGCATAGCCGACAAATTGTATTTGATTTAATATTTATTGCAGGCGTACAAGTCTTTGTGTGTGGTTTTTTTACAATGGGTCTTGTTTAATAATGATCAGAAATTACTTGATCGTGTGCGGGTGGCGAGGTGGATTAATGATTTGCGTCGTGAGAGGAGACGGTGGCTTGGGGTGGCCTTCATCCAGCAGTGGATTGACCATGGCTGCTGCTGTTGATGATGATGAGGGTGCCAGTATAGTTAAGGAATGTCAGAGCAGTGTGTGCAAGTGTTGAGTCACTTCATTCTCAATTGATGCGTAAGAGATTACGCGCACGTGGTTGCTATTGCTAATGCGCGCGTTGACTCAAGCAACGAGCCCAAGGTTAGCCCCGTGTTGTTGGCCAGGACCTCTCTTAGGTCGACTCAGCATTAAATGCCGTTGTATGTGAACATATGTACGTGTTTACATGTGTATTCCGCGAGATGTAGAGCGCCGATTTAGATTAACTCACGAATGTATAAGTATCTATGCATACAAGTACACGTGGGTGTCCCACGTGGGGAGCGGTGGCGCAGTGGGTTAGCGTGCTGCGCTCCGAAGTACGAACCCAGCCACCTAAATTCGATTCCGGGCCACCTTTGGCAAATAGTATCAGCACTTGTCCTGCGCTTCCTTTAGGTTGACTCAGCCCTAAATTACAAGCTGGTGCAGTGTGTATAAATTAGCACTGGAGGAACAAAAGCAAGCCAGACGTGGCTGCTGGCCATCATTTTAGCCTTAATAGGTGCTCGCTAACACAACTTGCTCCAGCAATCTACATGGCAACACAGGGTCTGAATAGCTTGGATCTGGGGGGGGGGGAGGAAGGGGGTAAATTGATAAACTGGGAAAGTCGTATCGCAGTAGGTCACAAAGATAAGAGTTTGGTAACCTGTTGTAAAGTGATACGAGCAAGTCTTAATTTCTCGTGGAATATATTTTCCGGGGTTCAGCCCCGGACAACTCCGACTGAAATCAAACCCTAAGCACAAGTTAGCTCGGAGGGTGTTGCTGGCAACGCGTTGCCTATTGTAATCCGGGCTTGAGAGGGGCGTTGGTGGATCACACGGGGATCGTAGCACGTGGTGAACGAGACACGGTCCTGCAGGCGAAGCGAGGCGATCGATCCACGAATGTTCGTGCAGTGTTATCCACTCGTGTACGCAGGGCTTCGACATAGCGTTGATTCTATTTCATTGGAGTGTATTTCTGATTTTAGAATCTGGCTTCGAGGTGAAATTAAGAGCTTTTTCCTCCGAATGATGAATGTACCAACTGCACCTATAACTCGTTAGCCTCGTCAGTTTCTATCCACTGCCAGGTGAAAGTGTTATTATAGTTTCATTCTCCCTTTCCCTCTACGAATGTTTTATATATAAACACATATCCCAGCCATAGGCTTGTACTATATTTGTTACTTGTTTTATTCGGCTTATTTATCCTGAACATTTTTTTTCAGGAGGGCCCTTCCAGGTTCCAGCAGTAGGGGGCGATGAACGCTTCGTGAAATCCCAGATTATTTTTTTTCTATTTGGACCACGACGCCGGCACACGATGGCCTACTCTTGCGACAGGCGTCACGGGATCTTGAGCGTCCCACTGAACTTGAGAGCGTGCAGTTGTGTATGGTTAATACAGCCACCTCTCTTGCGCTTCTTCAGAGTACACGATTAGGCACGCGGCCAGAGATTCCACGGTGAACGCAGTTTGAAAAGAGCATTGGGACTCGGTTGAGTTTTTGTCCGAGGTAAACAAAACGTCTACCAGCAACTCTTATAGGTGATGGTGATCATGGAATGATAATGATGACAATGATTTTGACGATCATGATCATAATCATTGATAATGGATGTTGACCATAATATCAATAACATTTTGATGATACGATTGATTGAGTGACGGTGGTGGTAACTACATTGATTACACTGAGGAGTGTGATTACAGTGATTACATAAATGACATGGATGTTGATAATGATACTGGTCACACTGATGATGACACTGATTATGATAACATCGATTATGATGACATGGATGATGATGATGATCAGGCGATGACAATTACACGGATGATGACGATAATGATGATGACAAAGATCACGATGACGATATTGATCGCATCGACAATGACATCGATTACATCGATGACAATGACACTCGAATGTCGACGCGTCCACGCGCACGCACGCAGGCGCCATGAACAGCAAGCGCCACTCCTTCATCGGCCGCTACGACGATTTCCCCGAGGTCACCGTCCTCAACGGCTTTGGGCCCCGGGGCTCCGGCGAGTCGGGCCGTACCCTCTCCCTCGAGGCCCGGCTGAGCCCCCAGCCGGGAGACCGCGGCTCCACCGCCGCCGGCGGCGGCACCGGCGGCACCGGCGGAGCGGGCCCGTGCTCGAGTCGCTGGAGCGCCCGCGAGCTCTTCCTGCTGTCCACGTGCGCCCTCGCCCTGGGGCTCTGCGTGGTGCTGGGCTGTGTGCTGCTGCTCAGGCACATCTCGGAGACGCGACCGCCGGCACCGCCGGCACCGCCGCCGCCGCCGGCGCCGCCGCCGCCGTCCGGCAGCGGCAACCAGCGGTGGCCCGCGTCGTCCGCGTGCAACCCCAGGGGCCGCTGCTTCGCCAAGGCGGCGCGTTTCGTGGCGCACAACGTGGACCCCTCGGTGGACCCGTGCGCGGACTTCTACGCGTTCGCATGCGGCGGCTGGCTGGCGAGGCACTCCATACCCGAGGACAAGCTGAGCTACGGCCTGGTGACGGCCATCGCGGAGCAGAACGAGGACAAACTGGCCAAGCTCCTGCACGGCCCCATCGTGGCCCGAGGAGCCGCCGAGCAGCGGGACGCCTCGCCCAGGTCGCCGCTGGCGGCGGCACGCTCGTCGTCAAAGTCGCCCTCGAAGAAGTCGTCGTCAAAGTCATCGGCGGTGGAAGCGCCTTCATCCATGTCGTCGTCATCTGCAGCGGCGGCAGCAGCAGCAGCAGCAGCAGCAGCGTCATCGACAGCGTGGTCCTCATCGTCGTCGTCATCACCGCCATCCCCATTATCTGCAGAGCACAAAGCCAAGGCGTTCTTCCGCTCGTGCATGGACATGGAGGAACTGGAACGGCTGGGCGGGGAGCCCATGCTGGAGGTGATCCGTGCGTGCGGTGGCTGGGACGTGCTGGGCTCCTGGAGGCCCAGCAGCTGGAACTTCGACGAGCTGCTCTTCCGAGCGCAGGGCATGTTCAGCACCTCCGTCTACTTCTCCATCTCCGTGAACGTCGACGACAAGAACTCCAGCCGCAACATCATCCGGGTAATTGAGAGTGGTGGGGCGGCGGGCGTGACCGAGCCGGAGCGCGTTCGCCACTTGTTGCAGACGTTTGTGGGCTCGGGCTCAGCGGGCCACCCTGGTAAACACTTTCCCATTCCGATGACGTACGTGTGCAGTGTAGCCAGGGGAACTCCCCCCCCCCCCCCCCCCCCGCGGCAGATGACACTGTGTGGCACAAGGTGCACGCATCAAACGGCAAGCATATGGGCATTGGTCTGCCAATATCGTAAATGTTGCCAAGTGGGTTTTCCCGATTAATTAATTAATTTTCCCGGCCAACTTATCAAGTTGTACGTGCACGTCAGCAGTTTTTCTTCCTATTTCGTTCCAATTATGTACACATACGTACACGTACGTCGTCCGACCAAAATCAGAAGAAAACATAAAATAACTTGTATCGATACCGAGGCTCCCACGAGGCCATAGCGGGAGGGCGTGTGGCACGGTTTGGCGCCAGCTATCGTAGAGTGCGGTCATGTCGCTACAGTTCTCTGCGGTGAGTGGTTGTGGTCGTGATCGATGTAGGGGTAGTGATAGTTGTTGGGCTGGTGATATGGGTAATGATAAGGGTTTCGGTAGTGATGAGGGTTGGGTTAGTGATAGGGGTTGGGGTAGTGATAGGGGTTGGGGTAGTGATAGCAGTTGGGGTAGTGATAAGGGTTAGGATAGTGATAGGGGTTGGAGTAGTGATAGGGGTTGGGGTAGTGATAAGGGTTAGGATAGTGATAGGGGTTGGGGTAGTGATAGGGGTTGGAGTAGTGATAGGGGTTGGGGTAGTGAAAGGGGTATGGGTTGGGGTAGTGATAGGGGTTGGGGTCGTGATAGGGGTTAGGGTTGTGATAGGGGTAGTGATATGGGTTGGGGTAGTTATAGGGGTTGGGGTAGTGATAGGGGTTGGGGTAGTAATAGGAGCTGGGGTAGTGATAGGGGTTGGGGTAGTGATAGGGGTTGGGGTAGTGAAAGGGGTATGGGTTGGGGTCGTGATAGGGGTTGGGGTAGTGATAGGGGTTAGGGTTGTGATAGGGGTAGTGATATGGGTTGGGGTAGTGATAGAGGTTGGGGTAGTGAAAGGGGTATGGGTTGGGGTAGGCCTGGTCGTAGCTGGGGGGGGGGGGGGGGTAGCAGGATGTGCTAGAGATGTGTCTTAAGGCAGAAACATGAGCAGGTTCGTGAAGTTTGATTGTTTTACATCTCTTGAATCCTAGAAATAACTGTGCTCGACTCTTCATCGCATCTGTGTTTCTCTGCGTGTTCCACCTACCTGTGTCTCTGCCTGTAGATAGACCAAGAGGGACTCACCCTACCTGAGCGGTCCCTCTACCTGGGACAGGATGAAGAGAGCCTCAAGGTAGGTTGCATGTTTCAGTGGAAACTTAAGAAAGCATCATTATAATGAAGACAAATTAATTCCCAGAACCCATGAGCACTGAGTTTGGATTTCGGTCCGCAAAATTTCTGTACCCCCCTCCTGTGTTACGGTTCATAAATTTAAAAAAAAGAATATATTTTTTTTTTAAACATGTATTCAGCCCCGTGTCAACCCCATGTTGACTTTGGGGATGTTTGACCATGCTTCACCACGCTGGTCAGTGCTGCCTATTGAATAATACAAAAAATCATCAACGTACTTTATATCTGCGATCTCGCGACCTCTCCTGAAGCACGCCTGCCACTTACTTGCCCCCACTGACTCTGAGATCCTTGGAGCACGCTCGCCACCGCGATGCTCTCCTCAATGGTCTCCACCAATCCCTTAAAACTCCAAACTCCGAGTGGTCCAGAGTTTGCCGCAAGCAGGCTTTTCGCTCACACCCCGGACATCATCATCGACACATCATCTCGATACTCCGGTAACCTCCAACCGAATTGGTTCTTGTATCAACTTCAAGGTCATCTGCAACTTTATTGGAGATACAGAGCAATGATACTTTTTGTTAGCACTACAATGATCCACCAAGATAAAAAAAAATAACGACTGTAGTTTGTTCATCACGTGTACGTAAATCGGGTGGGGAAGAGCAGTGTTGCAGCGGTTTGCACACCACCCTGTGAACCCAGTGACCAGAGGCGATTTGTTTCTTTACAGAGGCATGTTCTCGGAATGCCACGTGACGAAAGACCTTTCAACGAGATCAGAAACTAGGTCACCGTGCGGTCCTGAACGTGATGCTGCGTATGTTGAAATTTCGCACCGCACACAGCCAACCGTGCTAATCAGAGGTGCGGGCAAAGGACAACAAACTAAACACAAAACGCAGTTCTCAAGAAATTAGTTTTCAATCTAGATTTAAAAGTGCGTAGCTTCAGTGGCTTCCGAATATCGGAAGGAAGAGCGTTCCAGACAGCCGGAGAAGCGCATCTGAAAGCGCGCAATGCGGTGGCTGTCTTTGCTCAGATGGTTAGCCAATTGCCGCTGCTGCGAGGATGTCCACGTGATTGTTTAATCTCCTGGACGAGATCAGCAAGGTATTGTGGTTCATTCGTGGCAAGCACATTGTGCGTGAAACGAGTGCGACCTTATAACGCATTCGACCTTCGAATGCAGACGATGGGACTTCCGCTCCCCAAGCACGCTCCTTCCTTCTCCCCCTGTCCGTGCGTCCACAGGTGATCAAGGCCTACAAAGTGCTGATGAACAAGATCACCACCCTGCTGGGAGCCAGGAACGCCAGACACAAGCTGGAGGACGTCTTTGAGTTTGAACAACAGCTGGCCAACGTGAGTCATCGGCCAGAGATGCCGGTTAGCCAGTGAATATTGTGCGTTTGTTTTGGACATTGTCGAGGCCTCATGGTGTATGGTTTCTTCTTGCAAAAAAATATATATATACACAGTACTGCTTGTGGTTTCCACAGAGCTGTTTTTAATTGCCTACACAGGCGGCAGGTTGGCGCAGTGGGAGCCCTTTTGCCTGACAGCAAGAAGGGCCAAAGTTTGATTCCCGACTCAGGAACCTTTTCTGTGGGGAGTTTGTATGTTATCCTCCTGTTCTGCATAGGTTTCCTCTGGGTTATTTGGTTTTCTTCCCGTAATTATTTTTAATACAAATGTTACTCCTTTACCAAACAGGACCCCGTCATGTCGCCTTCGGCAATAACATCTGGCAACCCATCAGTATGTGTTTAACAAGGTTTTCTCTAAAAATATACTAATGTAAGTGGTATTAACCAAACATCCCAATGCTGAAAAATGTCCTGAAATTGTCTCTCAATCAGCGCTACATATAGCAAAGTCACTGCCTACTACGAAAACTTGTCAGGATCCTCCTGAAAAGGAGTTCTGAGACTCGGCAACGCTTTGCTGGGTAAACTAGCATCGTTGGCCACGTACAATGCAAAAGAAGCTCAACATACATACATGATAATAAATAAACTGCTCGAAATAAAACACCTACAGATTGCATGTAGCCATCAAGCTCATCTGTGCCACTGTGAAGACTGCTGCTTTTATTTGACAGTAGGTATGGAATAATTCATCGATGTGTCGAATAAAATGTTTCCTAGCACGTGTGATACATGCATAGAACTATGCGTGCGAGAATATATTTATTTCACAGTCTATGCAAATGATATGCCAGTTGTACATGTTGGCTGATGGAACAAAATAAAACTCTACAAGCGAGACTCAACAAAAATATAAAGAGTACAAATGAGATAGTAAAAAAAAAACGAGACGAACAATTCATCAAATGTAAAATGAATCACAACCACAAATTGTGACTATTCACATTGCATGGACATATTTCATCCGTCAATGCACTCGATATCTTAGAAGTAACACAATACGTGTAATACCTTGACAAAGCTGCCACTGCTTGTGGTCGGTGCAACTACTGTGTACAAGATCCTTGAACTCTTCAGCCCACTTAGAATTGACGTGCGCCACCGTGACCCAGAATTCCACTGGGTGTATGAACCCAACGTAAGATTGTGTGCTCTTGCACAGCACCTTTCGTTGCACTAACACGTGGCCATGATTGCTGCTTTAAGGCACAGCTGTGAGCTTCAGGGAAGCCAGTTCGCTCGTAATAATAATAATGGTAACAACAGGAGTTTCATTGAAACACGAGACCTCACATCTATAGGTTGGTAGCCCTGCAATTCCACGCTCAGGCCGCTGCTGGTGGAAAGATGCCTCCAATGAAGGGAACCCCAGAGCAGTGGTTCTCAACCGGGGGGCACGCGGACCCCTGGGGGCACGTGGCAATACGTGATATCATGTATAAATGTGTGAAATTATATGGTGCACGAGAGTCATTGGTGAGTGACCATGTATGAATCTGCCTTTATATAGTAACTACGGTAAAATGTTAGTCCATATGGTAACCTAGAACGATACAAAACACCTTTCTAAACTCATTGATCGTAAACAACGTGGTTTCTAAGAATAATGAATCAGTGAGCGTGAACAAATTACATCATGCATGCAGTGTGTCCGTTGAAATTTTTTATACGCTTGCAGTTACGAGCTAGTTAGGATACCTCACAAAATGGACAATTTGTTAAAATATTAATGATGATCATTATTCATACATTTATTTCATGTTGGGTCAGTGCAGGGGGGGGGGGGTGTCACTCGGTTTAAACACAATTCAGCAGGAGCCAAAAAAGATTGAGAACCACTGCTCTAGAGGGACCCTCCAGGGGATGTTATGGCCCACTCTTCGACGCTGACCAGACGATTTGGAAGACGTGGCAGCACCCACACCCAGCAAACACGACATGATTCTCAGACTGATATTTATTAAGTATAAAAGCCCCTTTTTATTCCTGATTTGTTTTGGAATGGCTGTAATATACGGTGAGTGTAGCCATTAGCGTGGACTGCCCATTAAGTGCGGCTGAAATTGCTGTTGTTGTGGTGTGGGTAAGAGCAACTCGCGTGTTTTCTGCTCCACAGATCACATTGTCAGAGTCAGACCCCTTGAGACGGGACATCAATAACATGTACAACAAAATGAAATTGAGGGACCTTCATCATTTGGCTCCAGCTGTGAGTATCTACTACCCATGCACAGGCAACCAAGCCTGCAGTGCGGAAGACAATGCAGCTGGGTGGACCGTCCGTCCAGTGGACACTTGGCCGTGAACCTAATTAAACAACCAGAAGAGTGATTGCTTTTCAATAGTAGATGTGGCCCATAAGAGTGAATGTAATACTCCATCGTGAAGTAATGTATTCTACTACCATCAATAACCATGAGTAGATCGCATGAGCAGAATTCTCACTCCAAATTATACAACTTTAATCGTGCTGTTTGTTGCTGGCTACTTGGCATTTTAGGCCCATTCGCTCAGCAAGTGTGATTTATATACCGTGATAATTTCATCCATCAGCTTATGGCCTTTCTGGACAATTATTGTCAAACACATGGAGCGCTCTTTTGCCAAAGATATCTGGAAATCCAGCAGTATTTGTTTAACAAGCCAAACTCTGCTGATGATAGCCAAATGGTTGACATTTGTCCAGATATATGTATTGCTTAACATGAATGCTGCTGGGTAATATTGATCTGGAAAGCCGATTAGGTGATCAACTAGAAATGCTTTTTTTATTTGGAGCAACCAACAGAAGTCTTTCTATTTTATTACCCATGCATGCCACATTAAGCGTTTTTATACAAATGTTACTATTATGCCAAACAAACCCCGTCAATAGCCACAGATCAAGAATATAAACCCCGTCATATAGTAGATGAAGTGCCCTTGCCAATAACATCTGGCAGCCCATTAATATTTGTTGAACAAGCTTGTCTCTGCTGATGAGTCCCTGAAGTTTGAAACCAGCCCAGAGTTCTGCCTGCTGGCAAATTCTGGGCCAGAATGCCAATCGGCTGATGGGCTAAATACTAAATATTTGTGTTTGTATATCGAGAGATGAATGGAAGACGATTTATATTTTTGACATAATGCTCCTCAACAATGCGAAATGAGCTTTGTTTTAAATGAAAATTTGTATTGGTGGAGATGCTACCTCACTGCCTTGTCCAACATTCCCAATTTTACATCAATGCGTTTTCTTTAACATGATCAGATCAACTGGAGGCAATTTCTGGAGCAGATTTTTAGAAAGCGGATTTCAGAAGATGAAGAAGTCGTGGTTTTAGCTACGACCTACATCAAGAAACTCTCCCATCTCCTCTCTACCACTCCTGTCAGGTACAGCACAGCCCACACCTACAGGGTTGACCAATAGCCACAGATCAGATGTTAAAGTTGGACATGTATCCTTAACGCAGATCATAGGGGTCAGAGCTTCTGCACAAAATTGATAATGATTAATTACTCTTTAACTGTGTGCGACTTGCTCAAAAAATTGTGACCTGCTCTGGTGTGGTCACAATGCGATAATGCTAATGCATGTATGTATGTTTGCTGAACTTCTTTCAAAACCATACGTAGCCAACCGTGCAAATGGAAGGCGCGGGGGAAAGATGGACAAACTAAGCAGGGGCCAACAGACTAAGCAGTGGCCTCGAGCAGCAGTCGCCAATATGTGGATCGCATTCTACGGGTGGATAAAAAACATATTTGCTGTGGATCCAAGGACAAAACAGAACAAATGCTGCCATAAGCACACAACAACAACAACTCTCGTTACCGCTGATGGCGAAATAAAAATCCCCGATGAAGACTCCACGCATAAAAAAACGATGACTTCTACCAATAGGATGGCACCTCTAATTTGCACGGTTGGCTACGTACAGTGCAAAAGAAGTGCAAGATATGTACATGCATGGCGCTCGTTTTCATTGCAAGTTTTCATTTATTAGGCATAGCCCTGTTAGCCATGTGGCTCTTGAGTCGGGTGCAACCGCAACTTTATGTCTATACAGACAGGTACAGGTACTGGTTATTGTTATAGCTCTCTCGTGGATCATGGAACCTGTTGAGCTTGGATCACAGTGCTTGCTGGATTGGTCACCACTACCTTCGAGCTCTTTTCTAAGTAATGTTTAACTTGAGTTAAATGATGACGTCACCCTGCTGCTGCTGCTGCTGCTCTATTTAAGACCGGGAGCAAGCGAGGGCTTTACCATTCTGGCGAATTTCCCCATGATGCTTGATGTAATTACCAGCGAAACGTCGTACTCAAACTGTAAATGTTGTGGATTCGCTATTCAACACACCGGTGGGCTGAAGTAGTGAACTATTTGTCTTTTGTCAACATGACACTTTTTTTGCTGATTGGCCGTGTCGGGTAGTGGAGGGTTACGACACATTTATAAATAACGCGATCTAACCCAAAAACCTTTATTATGAATGTTTAACTTGTTATGAATCTTCCTCCGGTTTAGAACATCTGTAAGCTTCGTTTTTTTTGTAATATTAATAGCAATTTAGCTATGTTTTATGCAGACGTTTTAATGTTTAAGTTACTGATTTGGGACACTTTTTTTTTAATTATACCATTTAAAAAAAATGTCCCAGGAATGCCTCACTGAGTCTTCAGACTCTTGTTCCAATGTTTCACCAATTCCAAATTTGAGGATTACAGTTTGGTTCTATTGCTACTGTGGCATCATGGTCGCATCGCCGGCCTTGTAATCCAGAGGTCGAGAGTTTGACCGCCCGGTGTGGCAGTTAAAGTAATGGGCCTCTGTGCAACCACCCAGCAGTACAACTGGCCGCACTGGGTTCACCACCACAATAAATCAGCGTCTGGGGGGATAAATCATGGGCACTCCCACTTCTTCCGAGACGTCTGACCAGCGTGGAGAAGTAGGCCGACATACTGTCTAGAGCGGGGCTCTCTAAAGCTCCCCCACCCTTCCTTCAGCAATGGCGTGAGCAGGCAATTGCAGGGCTGCACCTTTATATTTCTACTGCATGCTCTGTGAATATCGATTCTGTTTTTGTGCCGTAATATTTTGTACAATTGTATTAATCTCAGACCTCATTTGCCAATAAAATACATTTTCTCGTGCTTCAAAGGCTTCTCAGTTGAAAATAATGCAAAAGTAATTTATTTAATCAGGGGTCAATTATTGCGGTAAAATATAGGTTGAGGCATTCGCGTGAGTCTAACATGGAATTTTTTTAAAGATGTTTTTTTTAATATAAATTGTTTTCATTAATGCATTCATCCAATTATATGTATCTAAAGCTTGGCATATTGAACAATGTGAAATACCTTTGGAATGTCGCAGGTGATCTTTCTTACATTTTTCGTAAGCGGCATCAAGCAGACATTGCCGCAAATTGAATGGGGCACCGCATTTCCCTCCCCCCCTGGCTCCAACTCAAAGGCAAATTACTTGCGTAGAATTTTCCAAAAGCATTTTTCTGCTGCCTGAAATAGGCATTCACAGTTATGACTGAAAGATTGTTTTTTTTTACGTGCATGCATTGTTTAATTTGTAGAAAAATCCCATTCCACCACGTGTTTGCTGTTTATAATACTATGATTGCAATGCCAGATATGCAAAATACAGATATATTTAACTGGAAAATTAAATAATGCCTCTGACCAAATCACCCGGAATGCGCCTGGTCATGTCAGGTCTCAGAAGCTAAATATGCTTGAGCCTGGATATTGCTTGGACGGGCGGACCAGCGTGCACCAACAGGTTGACAAAGAGATGTGACGAGGCGACGTGGTGGGCAGCGTTGCAGTCAAAGTCCATTTTAGTCCGGTACTTCCATGCTCCCCACCTTCAACAACCCTTATTGAGCAGCGAGGTGAAGTAAATATACATGTGTCGTTATCCCGCCACCGCCCGACACAGCCAATTAGTCAAGTTTGTCACGTAAACAAAACGCGGCAATCCGATGACTACATCAGCACAGCGGTCGGTGGTGAAAAAAATAATAAAGAGCTTCATAGCTCATCGGATTTCTCCAGCATGAATAAACATTCCCGATCCCGATCCCGTTTCCGTAACCGAGTAGGGTGCTGCACAACTACATGCTGTGGCGCGTCGTCATCGTGCTGAGCACGCACCTCTCGCCGCCGTTCCGCGCCGCGCTGCACGACTTCTCGCGCGAGGTCGACGGCGCCGAGAAGGAGGTGGACCTGGAGCGCCTCTGCCTGGCGCAGGCCAACAAGTACTTCGGCATGGTGCTCGGCGCGCTCTTCGTCCGCGAGCACTTCTCCCTGCACAGCAAGCAGAGGGTGAGGTGCTCGCTCTCGCCGCGAAGGCGTCACTCTCGGCGATCGGCGGGGCCGCCTCGGTTCCACCGCGGTGCAGAGAGAGAGAGAGATAGTCCACCTCCTGCTGCTGTTGTTATCCCAATAGGAAGGGAGCCAGTGCTGGATTATCCTCATAGCCTACTACAAATGCTACGGGCCTCGCACTTTCAAGGGCCCCGCACTAAACGCTTTCAAGCTATAAATTCCGGTTCAGTGATTCTGCACTTGCTCTGTTGCTATAGTACTATACCGCCTTCAACTTTTATTAATGACTGGGTGTTTTAGATTAGCGATCGGTCATATTTTCTGGCTGTATAGCACGTGAAAAAATACAATTACTTTGGTATGCAAGTAAAAATTTCGTGTTTTAATATTTACGTGTTTTGTTTTTTTTAAATGTAGGGCCCCTTTATAGCATATGCTACAGGCCGCACACTAGCTTAATCCGGCACTGAAGGGAGCAATCTTTTTGAGCCGAGGTGGATTTTGGTCTTTTCTTTCTTCCAAAAGCCCGGTATGAAGCACAAGGAATAAAAATGGAAGGGGCACAGAAATACCGCGGACAGAAGCCAAAAACTCAGCACTCAAAGAGCATCATTTTTGTTTTTTACGCTGGTCACCAAGCAGATCCAGCAGCATAGTGTGTGGTTGGCATGAGGCCCGTAGTGTCGGAATGGTGCCAGAGGGGGCAGAGAGCCCCCCTCCGCTGATAATAATTTTGAATTTGTCACGTGCGCAGTTTTCATCCACTCTAAAAGACCGAGAGAGAGAGAATGATTCAAAGGTGCAGGAAACCACACATCATAGTGGGAAGGGCAGGCATAACCAGAACCAACAGTTGCCCAAGTTCTGTAGTTCTATATTAGGGTGTTTCGCCATCTCCATTAATGAGTGTTTATACATGTGGGAGGAAACCGGAGTGCCCAATGAAAACCCACGCATACAAATGGGAAGGGGGGGGGGGTGTAGAAGGGAGGGTAATGTCTCAGCCATCCCCATTTCCTTCAATTTGCAAGATGCGTTCGAAACTTCTACAATTGTCGAACAGGGGCTGGACAAAACGCAGAGATGAGTAAAGAAAATGTCAAATAAGCACCACTTACATCCAGCAGTGGATTGACAAAAGCCCTTCAATACATACATATCAGTGACCAGTAGTCTGATTGAACACCCTCCATTCACCCCTCAAATAAAGTGTCACTCATTTGCTGTTCGTTGTTTATCATCCGTACCCCTCGTCGAAGCCGTATTTGAATTAAAATTCCAATTTGCCGAACACTCAGGTTCAGCAGATGGTGGAGGACATCAAACATGCCTTTGACCAGCGGCTGGAGGAGCTGGGCTGGATGGATGAAAAGACTAAGGACGCAGCACGAGGAAAGGTACCAATTAGCAGCAGCTACTGCATGTATGTGTGTATGTTGAACTTATGTTGCACCGTACGTAGCCAACCGTGAGTGGGTGAGTCAGTGGATCAGTGAGTGGGTATTTGTGTATATGTTGAACTTCTTTCGCACTGTACGTGGCCAACCGTGAGTGGGTGAGTTAGTGGATCAGTTAGTGGGTGAGTGTTTGTGTGCATGCTGAACTTCTTTCGCACCATATGCAGCCAACCGTGAGTGGGTGAGCGAGTGGGTCAGTGAGTGGATGAGTGTATTGTGGAGCGGTGGTGTAGCGGTTAGCACGCTGTGTGCTATGAACCTGGCGACCAGAGTTCGATTCCTGCTCACGGCCAACACCAGTGACGATTATTTGAACAGGTTCTGGGCCTCCCCAAGGTTGACTCAGCCTCAAATGATTACCTGGTGCGGTGTGTAAACATCGCCACTGGAGAGACAAAGGCGGCCGGGCGTGGTGCTGGCCACCCACCCCCTCGTGCGCCATTCCGTCCTTAACAGATGCTCACTAACAGCACTTGCCCCAACAATCTATTAAGGCTATATGGGGGACATTTGTCTTTGTGTGTATGTAGAATTTATTTCCGCACCGTACATAGCCAGCCGTGTTGATCGGAGGTGCGGGAAACTAACGGGCACACGTAGGGCAGTCGACTTACTCCATCACGACAGAGTCCAGTCGGCCGACCATGGGGCCTCGTGGGTTCATCAGAGCGGTCGTGACGCTTGTCTAACCTTGCAAGAAGCTTTCCTTCCGTAGCGCGGTGTGACATGGACACCCTGGGTGGCGTAGTGACCCTTTGTGGCTGACGCGAGTCTGATGACGACGAATAGCAAGCTCTGCGTTGGCATTGTAATCCAGTTTCAATTATTTGATCTGGGGCGTTCGTCTTCCAGTAGGGGGGCGATGATTGCAAATTTATCATCGCGACTTTTTTCAATGTTCGAATTTGGCAAATTTCGACCCTGATGCCGGTGGTTCGCGCACCGCGCTACGAATCCGACGACTCGAGTTCGATTCGTGCTTACGACCATCGCCAGTGACAATTATCTGAACTGATCTTGGGCCTTCCCTACGTCGACTCAGCCTCGAATGAGTACCTGGTGCCATGTGTAAGCATCGCCACTAGGGAGACAAACGCGGTCGGGCGTGGTGCTGGCCACCCACCCCTTTGTACCGGCCTTCACAGATTCTCGCAACCAGCACTTGCCCTAACAGTCTGTTAAAGCCGACATGGGGGATGTTTCTCTTTGCAGCTGCAGTACATGATGGACATGATTGGCTATCCCGAGTTTCTTGGGAGGATGGACGAAGTCGATAAGGAATACGGAGTAAGTCTCGTTTGATCTTGCCGCGTCCAATTTTTTTTTTATTCGGATCGATGAGTGTAGTTTTACGTCACGGGGTGAATGTAGCGGCCACTTCGTAGCTGGAAGGGACCATGCAAACCCATTGCATACGACATATATGAATACAATAAAGCACAATGATTCTTTCACGTGTGATTCGATCCGTATATACGTTTGCGAGTCTCGACGTAATTCGTGATGCTCAAAACGGGCACTGAAATCCAGTTACCCAACCAATCGCATCTTTTCCCCCCGAGCCCTCATAACCTTGCTCAATTCGAGACGCCTGTCCAGTCTTAGCTATCACAACTGCTGTTTGTGGCTGGCCGCTTGACGCTTCCGGTCTTGGAGGAGGGGTGCGGTGCTTTGCTCAGCAATTATGTTTTTAAAAAATGCCCAAACTACACAAAGCGGCCTGTAGTTATGCCATATTTCCTTACAAAAGGCGAATGTCAGTGCTGTTCTGTGGACCGTAAATCAATCGTTGTGTGTTCTGAGCAATGAAATTACTGGAAGGCAGCCAATATGTCTATTGTGCCTAGAACATATTGAGTTACACAATGGGAACTGCTCATTCAGAAGGACTCAACAGTTTATGTTCGAATTTGGCAAATTTCGACCCCGATGCCGGTGTATGCGGTGTGCGCGTGTGTTTGCGAGAATGCGTAAATCATCGACTGCGTGGATTGATTGACCACCAGTTGAACCGATTGCGAACTTTCTGAGTGCCGCAGCTTACGTTTGTGGACGATTAAACGGCGGTGGTGAACTGTTTACCGCTGCAGTTTGAAGTCAACGAGAAGTCGTATTTCAAGAACATCCTCAACAGCATCGAGTTCAACATCAACGTGTCGATACACAAGATTCATCAGAAGGTGGAGCGCAACGTGTGAGTACATCACGCTCCTCACAGTTGCGTGGATGTTGCTTGCACATTCGCCCCGATTAATAATTATGATAGTTTTCGCCATTGTAAAAATGAAACTGGGAGAAAAAAAATAGACGATTTTGCACTGCGGAATAGTCCGCACCATTAAAAAAAACCGGCATTAGGCGCAAAAGAAATACGTTGACAATATACGGTCATCGAGATGGGGTTCAGACCCCGTTGCTTCTTTATCTCACCAGCACCGCCATATATTTCGATTGACGATTAGCTTTCTTTGTGCCTTTTCATGCGCGATGCAAATTACATTATCAGTTTCAATTTGCTTCTGTCATCGTAATTAATGGGCATCATAGTCGTTCATCGTTGCCATCCATCTCTACCCATTATCATCTTAATCTTTCATCCGTCACCCATCCATCATCACCATCCATGTATTTTAATACTCTTTTTATCATTATTATTGAACCCATTGCATATCCGGTGGTTACAGGCGAGATAACACTCGAGAAGGGGGGATATAAATACTAATTTTAAGCGTGTTCAACAACTTTGTCTTTGAGATTTTAAATTGTCATAATTGCATTCCTGACTTTAAGACTTTCATGACGTTGGGATAATAAAACGGATCAACCGTCTGTTGTTGCAATGCAGCTTTCATAAGAATTCGTTAATGGGCCAGATTAGAATTTGGTACTCGTCAGAGGTGACACATGTGTTCAACTAACAAGAGTAAATTATGTGTAAACATACTTACTAAGTAAAATGCATTATTTGGTTATACTGCATTCGCCGTGGTGCACAAGCACAAATAACAAACAAAATAATCATCCACGCATTTGTCAAAAATACTGGCTCATCTAAGTTTCCTTTCAAGGCAGTGTTATTGAGGAATGCGTTGATTTTTTTTACTTATTAATAAGATTATTGCATATTCCCTTTATTGGCAATTTAAAGATGTTGGTACAACTCCAGTTTGACCATCTCCAGCGGTAGTAACATGCAAGATATGTATTATTCTAGGCCCATGGACTACGAGAGAGCTTGCCACACGTAACGTGCCAACCGCGTGTCTCTACTTTTGTAGGTGGCTGCTGCCTCCTCAAACTCTGAACGCATATTATCTGCCCACTCACAACCAGATGGGTGAGATAATTTTGAGATGCTCCTTGGAAGCAAATGTTGTTGTTTTGAAAGTGCAGGAGAGGTTATAGTTATTATATTATTTGAAGCCTACCGAGGGAGTATGTTTACTTATACTCTTAATGTCATTTGCAATTAATGGCAATCGTGATTTATTAAGTGAGCTCATCTGCGAAACACTCCTCTTGTAGTCTAAACATGAAGTCGTGTATTTAAATGTCTATGACTTGGAGACCCGCTCTGTCTTTGATCTGTCAAAGGTGATTGAGATCTTTTCAATTGCCTTGATGCTTCTTGTAGCGTACATACACTTAAGTAGACTCGTTACATTGTGATGGTGCCATAATCCCCATTAATTCATAAATTAAAATTGCTTCTCATGCACAGGATACAAGCTTCAAAGCTTGTGCATGTGAAATTATTATCGACGAATTACGCAATTTATATGCCTATTACAGGGTCACCCAATGATTGCTGGAGACCCATGGCGGAATGCCACGTGAGGCTCCCTAAATTATACATCAGCGACAACAACAAAAATCAGGCCCGCTATGAGTCCCATTTTTTATGAGGCCCAGAGTAAATTGCCTCTTTTGCTCAAGACTCTGGGCAGCCCTGAGATGGCAATCTAATTATCAAAAAGTGAAATTTACTCATCTAGAAATAAATCGTGACAATTCATCGAAGCGCTGTGAGTTTAAAATTATTACATGCCCGGCGGTCATGCTAAATAAACATTACCTCTACCAAAAATAACCGCACGCTTCTCCATGCATTGCTTGAGTCATGTAAAGATGAAATGAATTTAGATATCGACTGCCGGCAGTAATCTAATGACAACGTAATTATGTTACGCGTGTCTCTGTCTGGTCTGCTGCGTGTGTGTGCTTGTATGTATACATATTGTATCTTCCTGTGTTCCATCAGGCCTGTAATTGGTCGTCTATCGTTGCCGTGTCTCTGTTGGTATGTGCGTTTGTCTCTATGCCCTGTTTGTTTTTGCCTTCCAGTCTTTCCAGCTGGTATCCTCCAGCCCACGCTCTATGACCCTGAGTTCCCACAGTAAGCGGCACAATGAACATATGAACCGTCAATGACATTTGTAAACATAGCCCGGCTTTGGTCTCCAAAGACCGACCCAGGCCTCTCCTGAATTCTCATTTCCAAAGCTGGGATTGACATGTGTCTTATGTAGTTATACAGCACTACAATGCATTGATCAACTCGTATTAAAAACTAAGTAATATTAATCTGCGTCCTTCATCCACAATTTCATACGTTTGCAATCACAATTGCATTCAATGTAGAATGCAAACTGCTTTCACAATTTTATTTCCATGTGCCTGTAAGGATTTTGGATAAGATTTCGAATGATTAATTAAAGCGCTTAAAAAAATGCCTTAGAAAATTATTTGCTGTTCAGCTGGATAAGAAAATGGCAAATAGATGCATGTTCTTTAATGGAAATTAGGGCATTTTGTGTCAATGTATTGCGTGTAAATCTTGTTAGTGTGTGTTCAGATAGAACAATGCAGAATCACAGTGGGAGATTCTAATCTAATTTAAAAAATGAAACTGCCACAATTAGCGTCGTGTTTTAATCATGGCTGGATTTCATTAGTCTTGTATTGAAATAATTCCGCTTTACGGTGGCAAAGTAATTTTGAGGTAATCAAATGCATACCAAATGCATCTACATATTTGGATATATTTTGGTCTATTTTTCAAATTTTAGTTTCAGCGTGCTATCAGCACATCATGACACGAAGATTTCATTCGGAAATCTCCAATAGCACTGCAGCCCCAGGTCTGCAAGAGACTTTCACAGAACGCCTGGGATTGGTGGCCATCACGTGATGGACAAACCAATCTTTTGATTCTCAGAGCTGGAATTTAGCCATACGAATTGTGAAAAAAAATGCAGTTTTACTTGATGATATTTCGTTCAATCATTGGTGACCAGGCAGAGACCATAAATTATTGACTATGAAACGCTTTGCTTTGGGTAATAAGACAATCAGAGTCATCAGAGTTATTTAAGTCTGTATTGAACCTCTTTAAATTGGCCTTTACCCATCTAGTTCTGGCAATGTACCCTGGTTCTGCTTATTTCACGCTTTCCATACCCAGTTTATTCGGATCTACGAATGAAATGCGCCTCGCAAATGTAAATTAGTATTATTATTAACTATCTACACTTGAATCATGGGTGGATGCCCAGATTTAAACCCAGCATATCAGCAGTGCTGACTCAGCGCCTTCGACCTTTGAGCCATCTGGCCACTTCTAAAACAAAAGTATTTTTTTAGAGGACTCATTATTATGGTTCCTCTACAAAGGTGACCCACTGAGTACTTCGGGACCAAATCATGGAAATGTCACAGGCAAGGTCTAGAGGACAGTGGAGAAGACAGCACTGCAAGGAAATATCGGTGATGGAAACGTTCATGCCCCGACAGCTAAATAGGTCAAGGGTCGAGAACAGGGGTCGGCATCCTGCGGCTCTGGAGCCACAAGAGGCTCTTTAAGGACTGCTTCGTGACCGTTATTTATTAAGGACCCACCGTCTCGTATTCACATTGCATTGCGGTGCTTAAGATATTGAGTTTTTTTGTTCACCAAATTCGAAAAAAAAATGTCTCTTTCTGTTTTTTCGGTTGCCAGCCCCTGGTCTAGAAGAACGAGGTTGAGTACGTTTTACAATGGTTTTTTCGCGTTTCTTTCCTCCAACAGATCCATGAACTATGGGGGAATTGGGACCATCATCGGGCATGAGCTCACGCACGGATACGATGACTGGGGTGAGAACAGCAGAAAACGACGCCTTCCGTACAAACATCAATGTCACAATCGCAGCAATTGAACACACGACCAATTCGGCCAAGTGGCTCCGATAATGTTTCATACACGGACATTTCCCGAATCTATGAAACAATAAAATGATAAATAACATGTTTGAAATTGTAAATATAAATATATATTCCTTAGGGACCTTGCAACGTCTGCAATATTCATATTTTTTTGTCTTTGTTTTGTTGCTGCTGCTGTGCTCACGCACCACGGATGCCCCTTGTAAAATAGCTGGGCAACTGGCGAAATGGGACCATCAGTGTAAACAAATCAAATACACGTAAACTTTATTTGTTTATAAATTCTCTAGAGAGCGCCCATCTCGTGGAGGCCTTTCCGCCAGCAGTGGCGTGCGTTATCGTGTGCACACGGTTTGGAATTATATAATCTGTATGTGTGGCAGATGTTGAGAATGTTTTAATAACTCCCGCTCCGCACTCCGCACTCAAAACTCACTTATTGTTCTCTAGCTCATCCCATGACCCCTTAAACCCCCCCTCGTAACTGCCACCGTTATTTTTCCCTCTTCATATTCTCATTATATGGGTTTCACTCATTCCCCATTCAAGCTATTCACCATCATTTACTGCCATCAAATTCGCTTTCCCCGAATTCACACATCACAGTTTCCCCCCCCCCCCCCCCCACCCCAATTGCTTCCTCTCATCTATTTCATTCATCCTCATCTCCACCATTGACATCCATACGTACCGTTGTTAATGATGTGTAAAGCGCCTTGGATAAGGCACTAAATAAATGCCTTTAAGGTAAGAATAATGAGATGCAGTGTTTATAACGTATTGCACATTAGGTGAACTTTGAATACCCAATCGTATCTCTGTACTCACCGTGAAAGGGATTAACTGCTTTGAAGCTTGCGATGTTAGCAGGCACGTTCATCATTGGAGGCAGAGTGGTTGTTGGAAGGGTTCAATTTTTTTAACATTCCCTTAAAGCAGTTTGACCTCTCTCCTGAGATTGTTTACTCTTCGTGCTGTGTTTTAGGAAATGCTCTTGATTTAGTGTGAGGGAGTAATCTGCCTCCAGCCAACAATGTTTATCAGTATTCATGTTCGTGGAATGTATATACTTGTTCTGTCATTCATGTCAACCTTTTGAAATGGGTTTTGTGATTCATTTTAAATTGTATCCAGTGGGCTTGTAATAACAATTCCACTTTCATCATTAGATCTCCTTTTCCAGTACCAAAATATAATAATAGGGTTTTTCCCCTTTTTTCTGGCAACAAAACTGAAACCTTTTTACAAGGATTCATCTCTGCATTAACCACAATACCTGCAGTCAAAATGCAAACAAAAAACATACTATGATAATATATGCATTGTCCTTGAAACTGATTGGTCCACACCAAGGGACGGCTTTTTTTTTTAGCCTCGACCCAATTGGTGCTCGACTGCAGGTATTGTGGTTAATGCAGACATGAATCCTTGTAAAAAGGTTTCAGTTTTGTTGCCAGAAAAAGGGGAAAAATTCCACTTTCCTTTCGTCATTTTTTTCATGGGACAACCATTCTAGATTTCCTACAAAGTGATACTTATTTTATCTATACTTTTAAAGATTATGGACTGAATTAAATCCCAACCAGGATTTTAGACTCACGGCCTTCTTGTGAGCCAGGTACTTTTCTATCGACTCAATTGGCTGGATTTATTGACAAATGAGATTTTAAAAAATAGGAATAATAATCAACGTGTCCTTTATTTAACCCAGAGAAGCCTCGCTGAGTCTCCAAAAACTTTTTTCTGGAGTATTGCATGTGAATGTTTACCAATTTCACAAATTGATTGCTTTAGGATGTGGGAGGAAATTGGAATACCCATTGAAAACTCATACAAACAAGAGGCTAATACTCAAACATCCACACAGATGGATTAAATTATCTATCGTGATGCTTTTTTAAATGGCCGCCTCGCTGCACGTTACATTCTCAGGCAGTTATTCCATCCAAGTTAAAAACGCGCTGCTTAGCTCATGCAATCTGATGGGACCAGGAGCATTCAGAGTATGAATGATGGTGATGACAATGATGAATGATAGACTGCTTGAGGATCCTTGATGAACGGATGATGTCATGACATAAGTATTTTGACTGCAGGCGGGCAGTATGACAGACACGGAAATCTGAAGCAGTGGTGGACGGCGGAATCGTACGGCAAGTTTCTGGAGCGAACAGAATGCGTCGTGAAGCTGTACAACAACTTTACCATCAACAAGCAGAACGTGAGCAGTGTACCCACCATGCAAAGCACGTGACACGATAACATCTGAGCCGAGCGATCAATGGTTCAACCAATTCCTCTCACCTGGTATGCAGGAGCGCGTGGGTTCAAACCCGACCCTGATGCCTATATATTTGAAGTTTGCATGTTCACCCCGTGGCTGCGTGGATATTTTCTCCGTGTCCTCCGGTTTTTCCCTGCACATTAAAAAAAAACATGTGTTTGGAGTATTTAGCTGCTATAAATTTCCACGTGATAAGCCACTTCGTTGAGCTGTCTGAAAAAGTGATATATAGCTCAGTGGGACTTACCTGGTAAAATTAAATATTGTTTAGTTTGTGTTTAATCCCCTGCATACGTGTGGACGTCTCCGGTTGCAAAGATGTCTGCAAAATGAAATTTCAAATGCTATACGTGAGTTCCTCTCACTCGTGTCATGCATAATGTTATCTTGGATTTCTAGCATTGTTTTCATTGTACATAGTTTCAGTCGTGTATTATTTAGTTGGCACGTTTATAAAATTCCCTTTTTTCATGTGAACCCTGTAAACCCTTCCAGTCCCATGCAACATGCATGTTGTTTTGACCAGGTCACCATTAAAAAACAGCTCCTTTGCTCGATGGGCCTTACCGCAAATCAACTCACCGACATAAGCAAATCAGTGGCATGCAACCAAGTTTGCATGGTCTGGTGCAGTGCCGGATTATCCGAGTAGCAAAAGTAGCATATGTTACGGGCCCTCACTTTCAAAGGCCCCGCGCTAAATGCTTTCAAGCTATCAATTCCGGTTCAGTGATTCTGCACTTGCTCTATTACTATAGTAATATACTGCCTTCAACTCTTATGAACGACTGGGTGTTTAAGGTTAGCGATTTGTCACGTTATCTGGTTGTATAGAAAATAAAAAAATATACAATTACTTTACTATGCAATTTAAAAATGTGTGTTTTAATAGGTATGTATTTTATTTATTTATTTATTTATTTAGGGCCCCTTTATAACATATGCTACAGGCCCCGCACTAGCTTAATCCGGCACTACTCTGTTGTGGACCCAGCCTTGGAGAGACCAATGCGGATGGTCAACTTAACCAGGGATGCCAAACGGCATTCCTCGGATTAATGGTAATTGACGACATTGCTAATATGTAAAGGCGTGCCGTGGCGGGTCGTTAAGGAAGCCCCGTACTAAACGGCAATGCACGTTATCTGCATGACACGTCCACTCACATTGTTAATGAGGCTACAGATGATAAATGTACCTTTCCAAAGGGAGCTGATGTGTGGACACGGTGGTCACGAAGGAACATATGTTGGTTTACATTGTATGAACATATAAAAGAGCGCATTCAATCCTGAATCCCAAATAAACATTTTAATAACTCAAGACTATAACAGTTTCAGACGGTGTGTGTAGGTGCACGTAAACACACGTTAGTATGGTACATTGGCCGTATATTTATGAGCCTCCATGTATGTATTATGTTGAACTTTGTTCGCACTGTTTAAAGCCAACTGTGTTCGTCGGAGGTGCGAGGGGATGGACAACAAATTAAACACAAAAAAATATGTTCTAAAGAAGTGAGTTTTCAATGTATATGATTTAAAAGTGCATAGCTCCAGTGGCTTCCTAATATCGGAAGGAAGAGCGTTCCAGACGTCCACAGAAGCTCATCTGAAAGAGCTCGATGTGGTGGCCGTCTTTGTTTGACGGCTAGCCAAAAGCCGCTGCGAGGATAACACAGTGTTGACCTGTATTCATACACATATTTTTTTTAATTTTGCTTGAAGTTAAATGCGATTTAATTTTGAGAATTGTCAGGTCTCCCTTGAATATGGATGTCTTGGTCTCAGTCAGCTCTCATGTGGTTACGCATACCGGCATACGTATACATGAAATGCAACTTCAAAGCAAATACATTCTGTACAATTTGCTAGAGCCCACAACGCTACTTCATGGCATTTGGTTACAACCCCGCGGGTGTAATGTGACTTTCCTAAAATGTGTCGCTGTTGATTCGTTTATAAAACGATGTTTGCCTTCATTAACGCGCGTAGCTTTTCTTTCGTTTAGGTGAATGGAAAACTAACGCTGGGAGAAAACATTGCTGACATGGGAGGACTGAAGCTCGCGTATCATGTAAATATAATCACAGATCGCAGCTTCCCGCAACACAATCTCATCTTTGCGTGGGTGTGCCTACTAAACTCACTCACACAGAGTCTCTAATCACGCGCACAGAGTCTACACGGCAACGGTAGCTGCCGAAACGTCGGACATCATTCCGAATACAATGTGGCTGTACAACCTGATACACATCAGAGAGCAGCACAGCAGCAGCAAAGACAAAGCCCCCCCCCCCCCCCAATCGCCTTATTAGATTGTTGGAGCAAGTGCTGTTAGCGAGCAAATATGAATGGCTGGCATGGCACACGAAGGGGTGGCGTGGGTTGTGTCTCACCAGGGAAGATGTCTAAACACCGCACGAGGCGCTCTCTTTTGAAGTTGAGCCGACCTAGCAGAGACCCAGGACCAGTTCAAATATTTGCCACTGTTATTGATCGTGAGTGGAAATCGAACTCGGGTCGCCAGGTTCGTGTGTGTTGTGGGGGTCACTGCCCCCCCCCAACACACACACACACACACGAAAGGCCATGTACACATGCAATATTGTTTGCATTAAGATTCTTCTGTTAATAAGGATTCAGAGAGCACGCCTTCACAGTTGCTTCATGTCACGCATATTCGCCCATTAATCTTTTTTTTAAACATACCTCAACAAAAACCCACGCGCTGTGGTGAAGGATTGTGGGCGAGTCTTAAAAATATCACCCAGAAGACACTGAGTCTCTTCAGATCTCGGAAGCTAATCCGGTTGGAGCCTGGATAGTGTTAGGATGGGCAAGCACCATGCAAGCCCGGTTGTCGTAGGCGGCTGTGGGGTAGTGCTAGGTGGTGGTCAGCAGAAGTCAGTGCAGCAAAATCCATTGTTGTACTGTACTTCGGTTCCACGTCTATGCTCAATGCCTTCACCAACTCACACTGACCAGCGTGGTGAAGTATGGTAAAATTACCCCCCCCCCACGACCCGCACGGCGTGGCGAGGCTCTCATCCAGCAGTGGATTGACAAAAAGGGCTGTACGTGTCCGTGGCACAATCACAATATGGGTACTAAAGATAATACATTAAAAAAAAACACGTCGAGATTCGATACCATTTCGGTCCATCAGCCTATGTGCCCTTCCAAGTATTGTTATTTTTTTCCAGCAGCATTCGTTTAAGCAGCAAACTGTGAACCGATTTCGACTTCTCGGAGTCGCATCAGCACGGCTCGGGCCGTTAATCAAATGTCACTGGGTCGAACGAACACGCTGTTAAAACAAATTCTGATTTCATTCGGGGCTAGGGGGACATGCAATGGTATTACCCGTAAGCCTCCAGGACTCCACGCAGCTTTTGTACGAATGTACTGTGAAGAGAGAAATCCTGATTTAAAGCTTTCGTGACTGCAGGGATTCATCTTCTTGGTTCTTTCGGTAAAGTCAAATAACACATAATGAAATATTTTTTTTATATTTTATTTGAATTTTTATTTTATTATGTTTTCTTTTTCTCATTTTATTATTTCCCTTCTACGTTACTTTACCGAAAGAACCAAGAAGAAAAGATATCCTGCTTATTAAATTCTGCAACCCAGCAACATGCATGTATCCAGTCATTCTCTGCTTATGAGACTCTGAAAGTTAAAACCGGCCCAGCAGGGTGCAGGGTTTGATTACTGCTCGAAGATAGATCTTTTTTTTTTTCAAAAGCAGCACATAGGCTGATGGGCGAAAATAATTATTTGTATCTGTTTTAGCCTTTAACTTTATTTTAAATCATGGATTTCTCTTGTGAACTTTTATTTTTTACAAAATGGTCGGTTAAATTGGCAACGCTGAACCAAATCGATAAGCAAGGCAATTTTCTGTGAGAATTATTTCTCTTGTTTTGAAAACGGACACAACATGGGCTTTTTAATGAAGATAATATTATCATTCCGGGCACATTTGCCCGTTGCTCCGTATCCCGGTAAGACATGGTGCTGTGTTCCCTTTCTCCCGTTTTTTGTTGTTGTTGTGAGATGCAGACATAACAAGACACCGCTTCATCCCAACACTATGCTTCTGTAAAATAAAAACGCTACAAGGCCATTGTGGGAAAGTGCACCAAGTAATTTGCTAAGTGAGGTTAAAAATCTGTTTCAATGACAGCTGCTAAGCTCTCTCTGGCTTATCGAGAAAGGTTTGGTATGTTCTTGGATTTAAACATTGTTTTGTATGATATGCCAAAAGAGTCGAGAGCAATTTAGATATTTTCTTGGATGATTTGGCATCTCGGGAGTCGAGCACACACTGTGTGTGCGTACCCAGTGTACATGTACAATGTGTATGTATCACGTGACACGTGATTATGAATCATTCATCTAGTTTTGCAAATCTACTGAGTATTCCTTTAAAGTACGCTATAATTATTGGCGGTGGGAAGGACTGTACAGAGTGGTGCAGACGGTACAGATGTCTTGTGACCCCCAGTTAATTATATAAAACGTAATGTTTTAAATAAGCTTTATTTAAAACAACAAATGAATATGCAAAGGAAAACAAAAATTAGGGGTCAATTCATGGGGGGGGGGGGGGGTCACAAGACATCTGGACCACGCTGTACAGTGTCACAATCAATAATTAATGAGACTATTTATACCGGAGGAATCTGATGAGCTTTGCAGTTCTTTTTCACATAACGTTACAACAACAAACAGCACAAAAACATGATAGGCGTACAAATTACAATACATATAAACAAATCACCCAAACACATAAATACAACCGAGCCATCCCCATCCTACCGGGCAAAGGCCACTGTGGTATTAATTTATTTTTCAGAAGCGACCTGGCCACAAATGATAGCTCAACAAAGTGGCCCATTATTTGGACAATTATAGCATCAATATATTAAAAATAATCTCAATGCATGTTTCTGAAGTCACCCCCCCGCCCCCCCCCATCTCAACTGCCATAATAATTTGTGAAATAAATGTTGCCAGTCATTACAGAGGTATCGTGCGCGCTTACTTAAACAATCTCTATTCCATTGCCAGGGCTAGGGGCCAGAGATTATCATCTTAATTTTTCGACCCGATTTTGTTTTCCCAATAGATCAAAAGAATGGCCACGATATCAATTATCTTGAGGGCCCGAGGTCAGCGGTTCCCAACCTGTGATACGCGGACCCCTGGTGGACCGTGAGGCTACTACAGGGAAAAGACAAAATACAAATTATAGGAACGTAAATCTTGATTTGAAGCTTTTGTGACTGCAGGAATCCATACTCTTTGGTTCTTTCGGTAAAGTCACGCATAATTTACTCGGACAAATGCGGACAATAAGATCTGCCACGAAAGCGACAAACATAAAAAAGAGGCGTTTGACTGTACACGTGCACACAGTACATATATACGGCTGTCAATCCACTGCTGGATGAGGGCCTCCCTCATCGCGTCGGTCGTGGGAGATATTTGACCTGAGCTCACCACGCTGGTCAGTGTGGTTTGCTACATGAACGTGTATAATACACCGATGGAAATTGCTGCCCTCTGTTGAATACGAGCAATGTCATTCCGAAATATCCGTGTCTGTTACATTTATCTTCTTTGTCCGTGAGATTCCAGCGGCTGAATTTTTAATTAATATTAGTGCAGGGGTTTTTTGTTTGTTTTCACAACGCTGGTTATTGCATACGCTATCACAGCACATTTGTATACATGTTTTACCACAAGTATGCGTGGTCAATGCACACTCGATGCATTGCAATAGGGTGTTTGAACATATTTACACCTCCAGTATTACTATCGTAAAAAAGGGTCCCATAGATCAAATGTTTACTCTTGGCCGCATCATCTTCTTCTCGTGTCCTGCTACCACAGTCACGTGTTTATCCAGTATTGGGCACATGATAATGGCCAGCGGCAGATCAGAATCAGAATATTCCTTGATACTGGAGGAATCCGATGAGCTATGAAGCTCTTTTTCACAGATGTCCAGTAGGGACAGGTCAGCAGAAAACAATACGAAAAACGATATCAGTGCAAAATAGAGAATGTGGCAAGTAAGTCACTAAATGTAAATAAATAATAAATATTTGATTGATAGAAGTCCGAATAATCAACATTGGGCAAGGCAGCAAAAACAACAAAACAGTCCCAGACCACGCCAAGATAACACACAGTAGTAGTCCCTCAATAAAATGTCACATTAACATTGAAAAATTTAGATACACAGGTAATGGCCAAAGTTAAACATCACGTTCGCAAGACGTGGTGTAACTTTGGTACGTGATGATATTAGTACCCGGTCTGTAGCCCTGGCAAGGACAAGGCTGGCTGAGAATGGTCCTGCCATAACCCACACCTGCGTGCCCAGCGCTGGGCTGTACCTGTAATAGGTGCTCTCTAACGGCCCCCTTGCCCCCATAACCGTGCTCTCTAATTGCACGGGTCTCGGCTGCTGTGCGTGCGAGTGTAGGCTTATCAGAAGTGGGTGCGTGAGAATGGACCCGAGCCTCCCCTGCAGGGCATGGCCTACACCCACGAGCAGCTCTTCTTCGTTGCCTTCGCACAGGTGAGTACGTAGTCCCCAATGCCATCGGCGGTGAAATTGGGGCCGCCCAGAGAGGGGGTGGGTGGTGGGGAGGGGGAGCAAGTGGGACAATTTTCACCAGGGGGGCCTCACGCTGCAGAGGGCCCCACAAGGGGCCCGTGGATGGTGGAGTAAGAAGGGGCCCCGCGCGACATGCTGACCCCGGGCCTCCAGGAACCGCTGGGCTGTACTGGCAGTGAACCTGGTGGGTCTAGGGCACGACAAAGATCACAGCTTCCCTGCTCTGTGGATGCATGGTTCCCAGGGCTATGCCATCACAGCCACTCTGCCGTGCACCTAATTTCATCCTGCTCACTGAGCAAACATTTAAAAGTGGAAGTAAATCAAATTTAGACTGCCACATTATTATTTATATTTGTCCTTTTGGTAAGCAGGATACGTTATTTGGAAGGACGTACTGTATATATTAATGTAATTCGAATACATAAATTAAAGAAAAAAAACACGTTAATGATATTCACCACTCAGCCTAGAGTTCGGTATTGAATCCATATATGGCACGGAAATACAGCATATGTCCATAACAATGCAGACATTTGAGTGGTTCCAGTGTTGAGCATTTTAAGAGCGTTGGGTTAAGGTTGGGGTTAGGGTTAAGTGATTTCGTGACAAACTATGACGGATTGAATCCTGACTTATTGACCAGGAGTCAATCACTTGTTTTCATTCATGAGGAGGGCTAATGCCCAAAATTAAATTTAATCAACATTGTTTTATTTTATTTCTATAAGTCGAGTAACTTCTAATTTCGCAAAACAGAATTGTTTATCCTTAACAGACCACTGGTGCCCTTTGCACTGTACTGCGATGTATGTGCTGATTAAAGTGTCTGTGATTAGATGGGATTTGTCATGTAGCTTCCTCCTGTTTGTCATTCACTGCATCCTAAATGTATTTTTTTAAACAATATTAATGACGGCTGCATGATTAACCGTGTCGTTAGCAGCAACAATGGATAAATTGTTATTCCATACATTTTCCAAATAATGGAACCATCATCATCATCAGCCATGGTTAATGCACTGCTGGGTGAAGGCCTCCCAACCCGCCTTCATCACTTATGGTCGGTCCCGCAATCCACCCAACACTTGAACGTGAGCTGATTTCATCGCTCCATCTCTGCGGTTGACGTATTCTCAGGCGTGTTCCTTTGCATTAACGGTAGAAAACTTTGAATTGAAAAAAAAAACACCAATTGGCGTTTGCACGTAGCGTAACCACGGGCGAACTCTGGCGATTGATTCAAAGCTGTCGGGGATTAATTGAGCAGTGTGCATTCTCTTCTCAGAACTGGTGCATGAAGAGAAGACCGCAGTCCCTCTACCTTCAGCTGCTCACAGACAAGCACTCTCCCGAGAACTACAGGTGCCCCACTTAAAACTGACCACCAGCCAAAGAGTTCGGTGCGGTGGTTCACACACTTCGCTTAGCAGCTAAGGTTGTGAGTTCAAAACGTGGTTTTGGGGTCGTCTCCACTCATCATCCTCGTGAAATGGATCTTGGGAATATCTGTAAGGGGAAGGAGGCGGAATTAAGATATTGCCGCCTTAGCGGCGGTATCTAATATTCCCAAAAATGTAAGGGACGCAGGGCACAGATGGTTTGGGCACGTGTTGCGAAGAGATGCAATTAGAAGGGCTTTGACGATTAAAGAACCACAGACTCACATGGAGACTCGTAGATTCACATAGAGACCCATCTGCTCATTGTAACACATAGGCGTTCATGATCAATATTATTATTATTATTGGTAACAGAGGTGTTTTGGGGTTAGATCGCACAAACATAAATATGCACATAGTCTCACATAGAGACCCAGAGACGTGAAGCCTATTGAGATGCCACCGATGCAGGGCAGGAGCAGATGTATGTATGTTGAACTTCTTTTGCACCATGCCAATCGAGATGTAAACCGAGGGTGAGATGGGAGGATAAGGCGGAATGAGAAATGAGGGCAGCAGCTGTGATGAGAGAAGAGGCATAGGAGAAAGACAATCCTAACAGCCAACCCCATAATAAAATAATATAACTGTTGGCTTAGAAGATCGCTATTATGTCAATGTATGTGTATGGTGAATGGGTCTCTATGAAAGTCCATTGGTGTCTTTGTTAGTCTAGGCAAGTGTATGGGTCTCGATGCAAGTCTACGAATCATGTAAGTGTATTTGAGTCCACTGGTCTCTCTGTGGGCCTATGCGTATGCAAGTGAGTCTACGGATCTTCAGAGTGGATGTGACTAGAAAAGTGCCACAGACTAAGCGATGCATTTCCTTCCTCTCCCCCCCCCCCCCCTCAACTTCTTTACATCCCTCTTCTGCCCTTTTGTGTGCCATCTGTTGCGGTCACTTATTCCTCTGCCCCTACACACCCCTGCCATCTAAATCACTCTGTTATTCTTCTTCCACGCGTTTGTCCCACTCATGCGGGGTCCGCCGTCCTTGCCAACCTTCTCCACGCTGCCCTGTCCTGCGTCATCTCTCATTCTGCTCCTCGGCCCACCTTGTTCAATCGCACCACACCGCCCCAACCACTTCTTCTGCCTTCCTCTTGATCTCTTTCCTTCCACTTGCATCACTTGCACCTTCTGACCCACATATTTTTTTCCTGTCATCACTCGATATGACCGGGCCATAACAGCCTCTTCTCTCTCATCTTCTCTGTGATTTCAACCACCTTAAGTCTTCCTCTCACTTCTTAATTTCTCACCATGTCCTTCCTTGTTTAACTCAAAATCCACCGCAACGTCCTCATCTCTGTGTCTGCCATAGCTTGGTCCTCCCTCTCTCTTGTGCCTCAGCACTGTGCCCCATACAACAGCAGCTCTCCCGATATATTTTTCACCTGATGGCGATTGCTTGTGTTGCGATTGAAACGTCGTGATGTTGTTATTATTTATAGATTTTTATTTGCATTCTTTGTTCTCTCTTTATGGCTTTACTGAAAGACCCCAAAGAATATAACAATTGTGTTGTGTGAGCTGTGTGTTTGACCCTTACGTTTTCGTATGGCTGCATGTAGATGCAGAGCAAAAACTGCAGTTTCCCTTTCAGGTTGTTGAAGCCAAATAACCTCGTCAGGAGCAGCGGAATCTATCGCTGTGGATTATATGTTGTACATTCTGTTCTCGATGGCCACATTCGCAAACTGGAGAGTTTTTTGTGCATCAGATATCCGCATCTGCGATGGATTCTGTTTGGTGGTGCTTTCTAGCAGCACTTGCCCCAACATTCTGTTGTAGGCTATACGGGGGATCTCTGTCTTTGGTGTTTGATGGCGGCGTAGGGTCCTGGGGAGCACCAATGTAGTGCTTAGCGCACTGCACTACAAACCCGGTGACCCGAGTTCGATTCCCGCTCACGCCAACACCAGTAACGATTATCTCAACCGGTCCTGGGCCTCCCCTAGGTCGACCCAGCCTCAAATAAGTACACTGTGCGGTGTGTAAACATTGCAACTTAGGGGGACAAAGGCGGCCGGGGCGTGTTGCTGGCCACCCACCCCCTACTGTGCCGTGGTCGGCCTTCACAGGTGCGACTCGCTACCGGCACTTGCCCCAACGGTCGGCAGAGGCTACACGGGTGGGGGGGGATCTTGTGTCTTTGTTCGCTGTTGGCGCAGGGTGCTGGGCAGCGCGTCTCAGTTCGACGAGTTCGGCAGGGTGTTCCACTGCCGGCGAGGCTCCCCCATGAGTCCTCAGCACAAGTGCTCCGTGTGGTGACGAAAACGACCGTGTACCACCACCCCCCCACCCTCCCCGTGTTCAACCCAGCCGCTCGTGTATGCGGGCATCGGCCAGAGAGGGGGGGGGGGGGCGCTGCTCGGGCTCGCGGGTGCGATGAGTTCGACTCCCGAGTTTGCCCCCCCCCACCCCCCCCCCCCGATCGTTGCGTTCTTCGGATGTATTTCATTGTTGAAGGGAGCAGAGCAAATGTCAGGTGTGTTCCGATGAACGGTAATGTTGGGCTGGGTGGCTCAAAGCGAGGGCTTGTGTCTTTGGATTAACGCTCGCGAGAAAGAGGATCATGCACGTGGTTAGTTTGGCGGTCATAGCCCGCTGGCACTGGTAATTTGCACAAGTCTCAATGCGTGTTAATTATTGTCAGTGGCAACCAATGCTGGCATGGGATTTGGAGAGTATGCATTTGTCCCATAAATGGTAGACATTCCACATTCCAAAGGCATGGACCAGTCTGTCCTGAGAACAACTGCAGAACGAGAATCTATTCACGAGGCACCTTGAAACTAAACTTGAGCTACAAGGTGCAAGGTATGACGGAAGAGCGATGATGTAACAGTGTTGAAAGTGAACATAATTTAAGCGGGTAAATAACAAGCGTACTGTGCTATGAACTCGGTGCCACATGTTCGATTCCTGACCACGGTCATCACAATTGGCGAGTGATAGCGACACCGGTCCTGGCTTTCCTACGTTTGCCAACTCGCACTGACCAGCGTGGTGAAGTAGGGTCAAACAACATCCATGGTCAAAATGGTGCGGGGAAGCCTTCATCAGTGGATTGACAAAAATGATTCGTGGGAAATAGCAGACAGTGACCACCATCGCCAGGGCACCATTCGTTGACCCATCCCAGGGTGGGTTTGACATCTGGAAAATGGCCCCAATGCAAAAGAGAAACAAGTAGGTTCATATCTGCAACAGATACACAGTGCCAGGATCATCGTGAGAAGCGCTGGCTTTAATTCCTTGCTCAGTATTTCCATGACTATGGCATTCAAACTGTTTCTTCGTGTGCTGTATTTGAACAATAGCAAATGGATATGTCGTGTTTGTATATAGGTGCTTACAGAAAAGTCGCAAATCCCCTCTCGCGTACGGGCGAAGTGAATCGTGATAAGCGCCGTGTTAAAACCGTACGTTTCATTAAAAAAACAAACGCTTGCCCTTGCTCGCCTTGAGCGATGTGTGGGCATTCCTGGGGCAATTAAAATGTACTCGTTAAACAGATCGCTGGATAAAACCTGAGAATCTGCGCTGCGACTTTTATTACCCCAGTTGGTGACGTTGGTTAACATGCACATTGCCATATTACTGTGCACAAAACCGCCGACTGTTAATCTAGCCGGCTTATTGCTACGTATCGATAACTATATTTGTACCTCCGCTATAGCTGATTTAATTATGAATTAATAATTCGGCGTCATTGTGGAGAATGTTGATAATTATTGAATGCCTTCTTTCCATGTTTGCCTCTCCAGATACATAATTTAAGTATTTCACCCACGTCCTTCTGGGAATTCATCTGTTCAGCAGCATTGGTTGAAATACCAGCAAGCAACCTTCACTCTGCTGATGAGACACCGCATGTCAAAACCGGTGCAGTGTTTGCTTGTATTAAAACGATGATGTTGAGAAAATTCGCTCCCAGAAGGCCGTGTGACCGATGAGGATGTGTAAGAAAAGCTTTTATTTTTTTTACATGGAGGGACATGTAAAGAAGGTGTTGTTTATCTTTTTTAGGTAATTGAGGTTGTGTTGCTGCTATACAAAGCAAGCCGTGCCAATTGTTGTAAAGTGATACGCACACATATTCCATCAGCTGACGTATGATCAATGCCCGTCATGTTAATGGCAGCACTGTTAATTAAAGGTCTACTCTTATGGTTGGTTACCCAGGTTAGTTTTTTTTAATTATTACAATATATATTGTGTGTAAAACCCCAGTCCCTTAAATAAATGAGCATTGTATTTATTGTTGTCCAAAGATTGTGGCCAAATTTTCACCAATTTGATGCGTAAAAAAAAAACACAATTTTAGCAATGGCATACAAATGCTTGATGTATTTGGTGGCTCGTTATCAAATGTAATTTTCTACACTGAAGACGACCAGATTGTGGAGAGAACAGGAAAGCACGCTGATGGAAAATGTCCGCAGGAAAATACATTGTTAAACCATCATTCTGCTAATTACAGTATAAAAATACTGCGTGAATTTTAACTAAAAGACAATTTACATCGACTGTACTTTCGTTTTTTGTGGCTGGAATAGCAGAACTCATGATCGATGGATTTGCATTGGAGTAGACTTTTAAAGGGAGCATGCCTTTATTATATTTTTGATGAATTTTCGAGTGCTTTTACTATTTCATGTAATGTATATAAAACAAGATGGGGGGTTTATTGAAGATATTCCATTGTATTTTACTTAGATGATTAAGGCAAAAAAATACATACAAATAATTGTTTAATGCATAAATCACGAAAATATGTAATATTTGCCTTTCTGCTATGCATTGCAACATTATACAAAATAACATGAAGTGAAACCTTGTTGTAACCTTCCCACGTGAATTTTCGAATTACCTAACATCCCATTTTTTTAAGTCCCCTCCAAAAAAACACATTTACATAAAGTGTGTTCCCCTATTTAACATTTTCCCACACGGAACATTCTATTTCGCTGGTATTCTGAGAAACATTACCTAGAGGCTTTGCTACATTTTAAAAGGAAAATGCAGCGTGTTTTCGTTTCACCTTGTTTCAATATTTTATATATGTGTGCGCTTTGTGTCCATGCGAAAGCTTGTGCAGGATAAGTGCTTGGAATTTGGTCATTGCAATGAACTGAAAATCACAACGATGATTGCCATTGGGAAAAAATATTTGTGATGAATATTATTATTTTCCCAGGTAAGGCACACTGAGCTATAAAGCTCTTTTTCAGAAGCGACCTGGCCACAAATGATAGCTCAACGAAGTGGCTTATCACGTGGAAATGTATAGCAGCCAAGTACTCACACGCATGTTGATTCTAAATGTGGAAGGGAAACCCGGAGAGGAATCCACACGATCACGGAGAGAACATGCAAACTCCAAATATACAGGCGTCAAGGTCGGGATCGAACCCATGACCTCCTGTATACCAGGCGAGGTAGTTAACATCTCGCCACCGTGGCACCCAACTATACATGCGTATACAGTAGTATTTTTAAGTATAAGCGCAGCACTGTGGAACGAATTCCAAAATATTCCACAATAAATATTGCTGAGTATAAATGAATACTAGTAGCACACTGCACGATAAAAAAACCGGTGGCCATTTTCTCAATGCTAATAACTTAATCTTGTCCAGATTTTCTAGTGTATACCATGTGACTGGTGACCAAAACGTCACCCTCATTGCATTACTGATTAATGTGGGTACCATGAAGAAAACAATATTAACCAAGTGGCTAAATGACCCATATTTCATTTATTAATACTGCACAATAAGCAACACTGATGGACAATCATGACTGATTGAGGTAAATGCTAACATTTTAGAACGGCTAAAATCCGTAATTTAGCACAAACATATTCAAGTCATTGTGTATAACAATTTTGCTGAAAATCTGAATTGAAAATTTTTTTGGACGGTCAAAAATTATGTACTACTGGTGGTTTACTTGGTTATAATCACAGCGCATGGATAAAATAAAGTTCCACATTGATCATGCTAAACTCTTAAAAATATCCAATCCCCATCAGTGAACCACAAGTGATTTGCCTCCAGGAGAGAGTATGATGCTAAAGCTGAAAGTGGGTAAAGCCCGCTACCAGTTACTTGTACCAAATAATAACAATAATAATCCAACAGTCTTTAGCATCCAAGAGACTGTGCTGGAGGAAAATGTTCGATGGGTTGTTGTCCACCGTCCACCCTCTTCATAGCCAGGAACCTGGGCCCCTCTGGCCCATGGGCCCCGGTGCAGTGGCAGTAGCCTGGACATTCAAACACCATGCCACTGTGTTGGACTATAATGAAAGAGCTTTGTTGGTTTGCCGATTGTTTTCTTCCTTTAAGGGGCCAAATGACGTTGACGAAATGCCACTTCACCACCGAGCACATGCACTCACTTCTGTACAGGCGCCCTAACATTGCCGCACACCACAATTCCACAGCAGTGTATTTTATTTCACATGTGTGGTTTTTGCAATGCTTTTTAGAACTTTTTGATTAAGTGCTGGCTTCATATAAATTGTCCAAAATTTACCGCAGTAAATGGATTTATTATATATTCTAATAAATCGGTAATAAAAAATACTGTCTAAATTTGTTTTTGTGTGTGTATGTATATATAGGTACTTTTTTCAAACAGTATACTGTAGATTACATTTCATAATGTTATAAACAAGAATATCTCTTAACATATAAGTTTTCACAGCCAATATTATGACTCAATTTATTTTTGGATTAGGCCATGTAATAATATGGCCACATTTTATTTTAAGACCCTACACTCCCCGACGTAATATTTTTTTACGTGCACAAGCATGTGACGCGCCAATTGTTATCTTTATTGATTTAGCTCACCATTAAGTTTAAGAACAACATACCTATCTCCGTGATTTTACCGAAATACCCAAAGAATGTGAATTCCTGCAATCACGAAAGCTTTAAGTCAAGATTTAAGAACAATCCTGATTATCAAAGTTATCAGTTACTGTATATGTGACTTTCCACTTCGCCAAGCATCCTCAGGAAAAAATCTAGGAAGGAAGTTAGAATAGAATCTAATAAGCCGGAACGTCATTCTGATTAGCCCAGAATAACATTCTGACCTTCACCCAAAATCAACTATGCAGCGTCCCAGTAAACGTTCAACGTTCGGAACAACGTTCACAACATGTCTGCACATGTAGCAACCCTATCAACCTACAATCGTTCCACCGCCTCCACCTCAAAAATAACTCGACCTCACCCCTTCCTACTTCCTGAGTTTTGGCAAAATGCTAATCCACATGCTTATCTGTGGGCATGTGTCCACAATGCACTCGATATTTGGGTCAGATTACATTTTGAGCTGTATTCAGCTATATACAGCTCAAGCTACAAGCTATGGTTCACACTTAAGCCGATGGCAAATATGTAGGCATTTCAGGCTGACAATGACCACAATCTTCTTGCCGTAGTCACACCGTCTCACTAGTTAAGCAAATGTCTGGTGTTTCCCAACATGTTCTCAAGGTTATTCTTATTCCCAGCCACCACTAGTGTATGCATGTTTAATACGAATTTCACTCTTCCATATCGCGAACACGCATGTTAGGGTGGAGACATGGCCTAGCCACAGCACATTCGAGACTTTTTGAAAAGGTTTGCGGTTCAATTTCAGTGGCTGCCCTGGTTAATACTGTAGCTATACTAAACATTAAAGACGCATCATCATCTTCATAATAAAAGCTAAACATACCGCAATGTTGTTCGAATAAAAGTAGCCCGTGTCACGGTCCAAGATTTAGCAAATTTGATCAATTACTTAATTAGGCGGCAATATAGCAACGTCGCACCCTTACCGGCATACTAATACCCACTTCTGACCGGGTTCCAATTGAAACTCACAGGGACAGCTGCCACCGGCGGTCCCCTGCTGTAGGGGTGCCCTGAGATATATGTGCATGGGAGGTGCATTATAAATGTTAGGTGCTGATAGTGATAATGACCATGATGATGAAATCTCAACAATACACTATGGAGACCTCGGGCCCCGGGTCCTTCTCGGGGACGTGTCTCAAGCGGAAGACGAAAGGCTTCGTCTCTACGCTGGGCAGCGTGCCCTCCCCCATGGGCAGCTGCCTCCTGTGGCGCAGGTTCAGCGGGTGGTTGATGATCTCGTGCTGGAAGCGCCGGGACAAATAGTCGGGGCGCCGTCTGCCCTGCTTTGTCAGGCAGGAGGCTGCGTGTCGCTCGGCCACGAGGTAACCCCGAAGCTGGAGTATGCAGAAAATGAGCGCCAGAAACAGCAGCGCGTGAATGAGGTGCAGGAGCCAGGGAAAGATGCCGTACCTGAGGCACCTCGTCGTGGTGAGTCTCTTCAAGTGACTTACTAAGGCGTCGGAAAGAGAAGCGTCGGAAAGAAAACCGTCGGTTAAACCGCCTTCCGTCGGCGGAGGCCGAAATCTGTTGTCGCACGGATTTTCCCGTGAAGTTTCCGTGGGGACGGCCGCCTCCTCCGGCCGGCAGAGACACCAGCGTTGGGTGCGAGCCGATGCAGACGTGCGAGCTGTGGCGGTGCCTTCGACGGTCGCGTCCCGCCTAGCCGTCGTCGGTTCGCCGCTGCCGCCGCCGTCGCCGTCGCCTTCGGGAGTCGCGCGGGAACGCGCGCTCGTCCGTGTCAGCGCGGCGCCAAGAGCTGCGGTCGTTTGACGTGGACTCGTCGTCGGATTATGCAGAGTTGCGGGTGCAGCGGCGGTGCTGCTCGGCGCGTCCGCTGCGGTTGTTGCGACCGCGCGTGCTGTTGTCGTCGCCGGCGCGGCCGTCGCGAGTGTCGTTTGAACGCGGGTGGCATTGGTGAAGTCGCCTGACGACCGCGTGGTTGTTTGCGCTCGTGCAGCGATGACTCGGCTCGCCGTTGCTTCCCCCGTGCTCGCCACCCATGGGGTGGTCTTCACGCGAGTCGCCGCGGCGCTGGGAACAGCGGTGCTGGCTTCGACCGTCGTACGAAGAGTCGCCCTGACGGTGGAGGGAACGTTTGTGACTTGGGCAGTGGTCATTTCTGCTGTTGTTGACGAAACCGTAGTCATCTTTTGAAATGCGGTGGTCGGTTTACCTTGAACTGTTGTTGGTGCTGAGGGCGATGCTGTAGTCGCAGGTCTCGGTGTAGTTTTCACAACAGGGATCGGAAAGGTGGGTATAGCGACATTTGTGCTTGGATCATGAGTTGCTGGACAAAAAGAGTCCTTATCCAAGTTATACAATGGTGTTGCAGAATGTGGACCATGATCTGAGCAGAGAATGCTTTCGATGTCCTTTTGCAATAAGCTGTTGTACACCTTGTCATCGTTCATATCGTGCATCCACTCCCAAAAGTAGGCAACAGAACAGTCGCATATCCACTGATTCTGGTAGCCGTAGAAGTAGGAGAGGAACACTGGCTCAAAGAATCCACTCGGCAGTGACTTAAGACTGTTGTTGGAGATGTCCAACACATCCAGATTAGTCATTGAGCTCATGAGGTCAGCAGAAACGGAAGCCAGGTCATTTCCAGGAACGGACAGCATTCGGAGTGAATCCATGTTGGTGAAGGAGCTTTGGTCGAGAGTTCCGAGGCGATTGTTGCCGAGAAAAAGTTCCTGGAGATCGACGAGGGCGGCGAAAGCGTCCGCGGGCAAGTGTGCGATCTGGTTGTCGTTGATCTTGAGCCGAGTGAGACGGCGGAGGAAGCCGAGAGGTGGCAACTCGGTGAGCTCGTTGTGCGAAGCGTCAATGTGCAAGATGGGCATCGCCGCCCGCGGCGTCACGCTCACGATGCGGTTGTGGGCCAGGTCCAGCTCCTCCAGGAGAGGGAGGCCCTCCAGGGCGGCCCACATGGGGGCGACCAGGTGGTTGGAGGTCAGCCACAGGACCTTGATGTCCGTTCTCAGGTTGGTGGGGAAATCCCGCAGGCCCCGTGAGCTGCAGTTAGCTCGGAGACGGCCCGCGTTGTCGGGGCCAATGTCACAGCTCTCGTCGCGGCCGTCGGAGGAGCAGCTCGGCAGAAGGAGACAGATGAGCACAAGGGACGCTGAGGGTTTGTTGGGAAAAGTAACACAAACAAACAAAATAGTGTCGTGAGCAAGCGCACACAAATTGTGCTGACGCAGATTACAAGACGCCACGGAAAATAAGACGCGACCCAAACTTGTGCCCAGTGTCAATAACGTTACACGAATTTGGTGACACACACAAAAGACACACCAGATTAATTATAAGGTGAACCAACACTTTTGGTTTAAATAAATGGGGGGGGGGGGAGTGCATCTTATAATCCAGAGAACACGGTAGTACTAACAGCTGCAAGTAATTTACAAATAAAGTTCAATGCTTATTAGATGGTGTATTGAGATGACACTTACCGAATTGGAGTTCATGCAGGGGCATGGTGTTTGCACGCTGCGGGTAGCGGTGACCGTGTGCATGCAGCCGATAGATTTCTCTCTTAATGAGACATATCCTTGTATTGCTCATTGGCACAGAGGCACACACACCCAGTGGCCCACCCATAGCCCTATCAACTCACAACACATGCCGAGAGAACGTGTAATAATAACGCCATATATGGCCGGCTTTAATGTCATTATAAACTTTGTTTCCAGCATTACAGCCACACTCATCTGGAAATGAGGTCGAGAGGTCATCCTGGCAATGGCCACCGATGAGAATGGAGCAATGCTCATCTCCATTGGCAGTCCCAAGATGGTGGTGGAAATTCCACATTCCCATGGCAGAGGCAGTGTACCCGTAGAATATTGTTAACATTTGGGGCAATGCTTATATCCATTTCGCGTAGCCACGACCAGGGAGTAGAACCAAACCGAACTGATAAGCGTAACTGTTAACTGGTATACCAAGTGCTCTTGCCAAAATCATCTGGAAATCCAGTGGCATTTGTTTAACTAGCCTGAATCTGTTGGTGAGACCCAGAATGTCAAACTAGTTGAACGTTTGCTTGATGAAACAAATTCTGCTGAATAATATTGGTCTAGAAAGCCCCATTGGCCGATTAACGAAAGCATTGTATTAATGTATTTATTTGCGGAGTTCTGCTTGTGTGCAGAGGGAGGCGCAGTGGTAACACTTCGTGAGCCATCATCCAAGCGTGCAGAGTTTGACTCGAGTGCCTTTCTGCCGTGAAGTTTTGTATTGTTCCGTATGGATTTCCCCCAATAACTAAAAACATATACACATACAAATGCAATGTCAATCGTGTGCCAAATCACCGTGTGCCACACAGGAGCAGGCTACATCCAGAATCATCAGGCAACATCGCCTAATGATGCTGGATGCAATTGGCAGCGAAACGTCACGCTACTCAAACTGTAAATGTTGTGGATTTACTCTCCAGCACACCAGTGGGCTGAAGTAGTAAATAATTGGCACGTTTTGTTTCCGTTACAAATCTTACTGGTTGGCTTTGTCGGGTGGTGGCGGGTTATACTTAAGCGATCTTACTAACAACGAATTTTATTATATTGTTCGCGAATAACTACGTTGAAAACTGCCAATAGGGGGCTCTGCGCTCTGAGACGTTTCCTTAACGCAATACGAACGCACCTTCATTCATAACATAGGGGTTTTTTTAGGGTTAGATCGCATGCCATTGTGAGCATCTGGAACGGCACTTTGCCATAGCCACCCACAACTCTGTGGGTGAGCTTTCTGGGTGCGTGGAATCAGAATGGAAATATTTATTTCCGCTGGTGGAAAAATCCGATGAGCTGTAAAGCTCTTTTCTTCACAGACGCCCAGTGGAGCGGTGTCTAAGAGACACCCAGGAGGACAGGGGATAGCGCGAGAGACAACGAGACGGGGATAGAGATAGGCGCTAAAAGACGTGAATACGAAACGCAGGGAGACAAGAGGCCAAAATTGATACACAACAGATAGAGATGCACGTGCAAGGGATAGGGGCCGTCAATAAATGACGTCACGCACCTAGGGGGGGGGTCAGACATTTGTGACGATGGGTGACGAGGGGGGGGGGGTGAGAAATGTGACGTCACATCAAAATTTCGCAACTTTAAATACATATAGACAACACGTTCGACTTAATGAAATAGACTTTTTAATAAATGTTTTCTCCGACAACATCAGAGTGCAGCGCCACATTAAATACGCACTACAATGACAATAGTTTAAAGCGATTTGAAGCATGTTTTATTTGGAGGGGGGGAAGAGCTTTGTGACGTCATATTTGGGGGGGTCTGACTTTTTGTGACGCCGTGTGACGAGGGGGGTCGAAAATCGTCCAAATTCGCGTGACGTCATTTATGGACGGCCCCATAGGCAGACACTGGTATAGAGGTAGATACACAAAAAAAGACAGGGACAAGAGACATTGAGACACGGAAATAGGCACACACACAGAGGAGACAGAGATAGTCACGTGGTAGGGGAGGCCTTCATCCAGCAGTGGATAGGCCACGGCTGATTACGAAGTCGCGAATCTCATCGTGCACGCGGCACGGCGGGAATCGATTGGACATTTAGCTGAAGAATCGATCCGTGTGCCAGTCGCCGTTTCAACGAATTATGATTGCATGGTGAACGATTAAATAATATAATCGTCCACCACCACCAGCACGTCGCTTATCGAACACGCTCCTTCGAACCCCTCCACCACTCTTGCGATTGCTAGTTATAGGTAATCAAACTTATCGATTAACATGAACACTAACCACAACCCCCGGATTTCGAAATCGATTCTTAACCCCAATTCGAACACCTGCCCGGACGGATCCACCACCTCTGAAGAATCGATCCAATAGATTCATAAAACGGCAGTCGAATCGAGCTCACCGTCCGAGCCCGCGATCGGTATCAACCTAAATAAGCGTGCACGGCTCTTCGTTTTATCACTGTCCACCATCAGTCCAATGGAACTCATCGAAGCACTTGCTCTCTACTGTCATCTATTCAAGATACACAATCCCACCACGACCCAGGAATCGACTCGATCGATGCGTTTCGCGCAAATGGAATCGAATGTCGCAGGGTTCGACTGAGAGTACAGTGCAGTGGAGCAAACCCCCCACCCACCTCCATGTGCAGCTCTCGCAGCAGGCACGGGGCTCCAAGCACGGGGCAGCAGGCACGGGGCTCCAAGCACGCAGCAGACACGGGGCTCCAAGCACGCAGCAGGCACGGCGCAGCAGGCACGGGGCTCCAAGCACGGGGCAGCAGGCACGGGGCTCCAAGCACGCAGCAGGCACGGCGCAGCAGGCACGGGGCTCCAAGCACGGGGCAGCAGGCACGGGGCTCCAAGCTCGCAGCCGTCGGTGGTTCGCCAGTCGCCGTCAATCAGTCAGCGAGGTGTCGGTGTGGAGAGGTGGTGGGGAGGTGTTGATGGTGGTGGGGAGGTGTTGATGGTGGTGGTGAGGTGTTGATGGTGTGGAGGTGTTGATGGTGTGGTGGTGAGGTGTTGATGGTGGTGGTGGGGAGGTGTTGATGGTGGTGGTGAGGTGGTGGTAGTGGTGGTGAGGTGTTGATGGTGTGGTGGTGGAGTTGGGGAGGTGGTAGTGGGGTGGTAGTCGTGAGGTGGTGGTCGTGAGGTGGTGGTGGGGTGGTGGTGGTGAGGTGTTGATGGTGTGGTGGTGGTAGTGAGGTGGTGGTGGAGTTGGGGTGGTGGTTGTGAGGTGGTGGTTGTGGAGGTGGCGAGGCAGTGGTGAGTTCGTGGTGGTGGTGAGTTGGTGCAATGGGCAGGCGTACGGGCCGCCCCCCGGGTCGCACGCCCGTGTACGCGAGCGAGGCGGAGCGGCGCGAGGCGCGCACGCGGCGTGACAAGGAGCGCAAGCGGCGCAGCGTGCACGTGGGGCGGCACAAGGAGCGCTGGGACGCGGCGAAACGACGCGCGGGCACCGCTCGGGACGAGGACTTCGCGGGGCAGCTGCTCGCCCTGCTCGACCGGGCAGCTGTGGTAGCAGAGGCAGCTGATGGTGGTGCTGCTGCTGCTGGTGGTGGTGGAGATGATGGTGATGATGCAGCAGCAGCAGCAGTGACTGCGGTGGGAGATGACGAGGCAGCAGTCGAAGGAGGAGGCGTCGGTGGTGGTGGTGATGGAGGAGGAGGAGGAATAGCAGGAGAAGATGGAGATGTGTGAGTACGGGTGGTGGGAGGGGCTGATCGAGATGCGAGGTCCCAGGGGTAAATTTGTATAAAGTAGCTTCAGAGTAACAAAATAGCACAAATACGGTGTCGGTTAAGGGTGATTTTCCAATCAAGGTGTTGTAAGCGAATGGCCATAGGTGCACTCACTGAATCACTCCAGTCACGCCTTAGGGGCCGTCCATAAATGACGTCACGCATATAGGGGTGGGGGGGGTCAGACATTTGTGACGATGTGTGACGATGGGGGGGGGGGGGGGGTTGAGAAATGTGACGTCATTAAATACGCACTACAATGGCAATAGTTTAAAGAGATTTGAAGCATGTTTTATATTTTCCAAATTCAACCGCCTTTCCAACAAGAAATCGGACCCACACACCGAAAGCTAGACTTTAACAAAGTCGTAATTAATCGCAGTAACAGCTCTATCTCTGATGGTCTGAAATCCGTTTTAGCTAAAGGGCTAAACTTTGCAGTCACACCTAGACACATACCAGTTAATGATATCATTTCCCATGTCGACGTTGCACTCAAGGGCCTGGGTCACATCGTTGCAGACGTAGCAAGATCTGAAATCGCTGCAACCCTCAAAAACGCTAAGATGCCACCTAGCAACATAAGCAAAGATGAGCGCTTTGAATTATCTCAATTAAAAAGAGAGATGACATTGTCATCCTCTCAGCCGACAAGGGCAATGCCATTGTCATAATGGACAAAATAGAAAACAACAAAATTCAGGAACTACTCAACGATGGCAGCTATACCAAAATAAGAAGAGACCCCACCAACAGCCTTGTGACTAAAACCAACAAAATAATTTCTGATTCAACAGCATTAATTAATCAAACCAAACCTATTATCGTTGAAACATTCTGCGACCAGACCACCAAGATTATATGGCCTTCCAAAGATGCATAAAGAATATACGCCCCTTCGTCCAATCATCTCCACTATCAACTCCCCCACCTACAAACTGGCTCGTTTTCTGTCTGATATCCTGCGACCTTTTCCTGTAAAAACCACCTCTGCGGTACTAACCTCTACTCACCTGGTATCGACAATCAAGGGCATTTCCCTGTCCCCAGACGACCTGCTTGTCAGTTTTGATGTGGTTTCCTTATTCACCAAGTTCCGGTACCTGACACCATCGCAATCATTGAAGACTTTGTTCATGAAGGACTGCATACTGATGTACCCCCCCCCTGGTGAGACACTGCTTAACCAACACATACTTCACCTGGAATGGAACTTTCTATAAACAAACTGAGGGCACCCCAATGGGCTCCCCTCTATCTCCGGTGGTAGCCAACGTGTTCATGGAAAAATTTGAAACTGACGCCATCCAGACTGCCACTCTATGCCCGACCGTATGGAAGAGGTATGTTGATGACACCTTTGTCATCTGGCCACATGGCCAGCCTGCTCTAGACCAATTCCTCGACCACATCAATTCCATACACCCAGCCATCAGATTTACCATGGAAGTCGAAAAAGATGGCAAGCTACCCTTTTTGGATGTCTTAATTAAAAGGAGACCTGATGATTCAATGAGCCACTCTGTCTACAGGAAAGCTACCCATACGGATGCTTACTTAAAACCGGATTCACACCACCATCCCAGAAGAACTCCCTCATCAAGACTCTATACCATAGAGCCCAATGCATTTCCGACAAGGATCACATTGCCAGTGAACTCAAACACGTACACCAAGCTCTCAAGGCTAATGGTTACTCTGACTACACAATCCGCAAAGCCATCACTCCAGTTACGAAGAAGGTTCCCCTTGAGGATCCATTAAAAACCATCACCTTACCCTACATTGCTGGGGTCACAAAAAAGATCTCCAAAATCCTGAATAAACACAAGATCCAGGTCCGATTCAACACAGTACATAAAATCCGTGATCTGGTTCCGTCTGTAAAAGATGTGGTTCCAGATATACAGTACCCGAGCGTTTACAAACTAAGTTACCTCTGTGGTAGCAGCTACATTGGAGTAACCAAACGACATATCTCGGACCGTATCCGCGAACATAAAGCAGACTTGAAACATGGTAGGACTAACTCCTCAGCCGTGGCAGATCACTGTTACCAGTGGGCTCACATGACATTAACTTCTCCAAGACGGAGGTTCTTTGCAAGCCATCTGGCTACCATGAGAGTTTCGTTCATGAGGCCATCTACATATACAAACACAGAGACAATTTCAACCGAGAAAATGGATTCTGGCTTAGTAACTTTTGGAAAGATGTTATAAACCATTTCGGTTCTTAATTGATTGTATTTTACGGTGACCTTCAGACCGCAGTCCATTCGCTGACACTGCCTCTTGATATCTTTCACACCACGGTCAATTGTATGGTTTATAGCATGTGGTATAATAATAAATAGTACAGCATCGTAATGTTCAACATAATTCATAAGGCAATATATAGTATCGTAATTGTATAGTGAATATACAGCAGTGTGTCATACATTAGGGTTGACAGAATAAGACGATATTACAAGTCTAATATTTTATAGTGTAAAGTATAGGGTAGTGTACAGTAACGCATTGTATAATTCAAAGGTGGAATTTTTTCTATGGATATGACATTATACCATGTAGTTTAGATTGGAAGGCATAATATTGTATTGCATAGCAGTCCAGTTTACAGCATAGGACATAGTAGCGCACCTTGGCTGTCCGGCCCTTTCCCTTTGACCCTTGGACGCCCCCCTCTCATCATCTCCGGAGGTGGGGTTGGGCAACATGCCAATTCATATGTTAATTCCGTCCACACAGCTTAAAAGACGCGGCCCTTGCTTGGCTGTGCTCACTCTAGTGCTGTCTTCTAGACAGTCCTGTTCCTTCACCTGAAGAAGGCCACTTGTGTTGTGGCCGAAACCGCGGCCCTTGCTTGGCTGTGCTCACTCTAGTGCTGTCTTCTAGACAGTCCTGTTCCTTCACCTGAAGAAGGCCACTTGTGTTGTGGCCGAAACGTCGTGAGAATTTTTATTTTATTTTATTATGTTTTATTTGTATTATTATATCTCCATTCTACATGACTTTACCGAAAGAACTAAGAAGATGAATCCCTGCAGTCACGAAAGCTTTAAATCGAAAAATGTTTTATATATTTTTTTGGAGGGGGGAGGGGGCAGAGCTTTCTGACGTCATATTTGAGGGGGGTCTGACTTTATGTGACGCCGTGTGACGATGTGGGGGGGTCAAAAGTCGTCAAAAATCACGTGACGTCATTTATGGACGGCCCATAACCAGGTGGTCAGCTCCTTATCACTCTTCTATCGCTGCTACCATGGTTACTGATACTCTAAGCTTCACGCACTGCTGAACTCCCAATTGTTTTGTCGCCGGTCGTCAAGTTTGCCTCACGACTCCTGACTCATTCTTGCAGAGGGAGCTGGTAGGAATGTTGGGTTGCTCGGTCAATGGCCAGGGTCAACGGCGGCACCACGTGGTGTATTCCGCAAATACGCCCGACTGTGAGGGCGGGCAAGAGCCGGCGTGAGTAGGTTAAATGTTGAGTTTTATAAGGGCACCACGGGGTGACCAGCTCCTCCCCACCCAGCCCCACCCCTCCCACCCCCCACCCAGCCCCACCCTCCCCACCCAGCGACCGCTTGTGTTGCGATCGAAACGTCGTGATTTGTTTTATTTTATTTCTATTCACTTGCAGTAAATTCCCGCTCCCATTTCTGACCATTTAGTATCGTGCACACCTGGACCACCACCGACACTGTATAGGTCACACAGCATTCTCTTGTTTTGCTTTTGCCCTCGAACTTTGGAATTCCCTCCCATTGTCTCTCTTGTCCAAGTTCTTACAATTTGCTCAATTCAAGAAAAGCGTCGACTCTTATCGATTACAAATTTAATTGTGCTGTTTGTTGCTGGCCGTTTTGGCGTTTTGGGCCTGTGCCTAGCGACAGTGATATACCAAAAAAAACAGCCTGATGTCAGGGTCCCCGTGTTTGGAGGGGGCATGGGCTAGAGAAGAGATGGGCAGATTTGCTCCAGGATGATGTGGAGCTGAGTGGACCAGCGGTGTCAAGATCGGCTCCTGTGGAGGAAGCTCGTGAGGGACGCTGCTGCTGCTACTGGGCAGTTGGAGACAGTCGCCCTCCGGCAACAACAGAGGGCAGAGGAGCGACGCTCACAACAACGAACCGAGCGCCGGGCGGCTAAAACGCAGCGAGGTCGGCAGAGTGGGGTGCACAGTCAACCCATGGCTCCTGAGTCTGACCTCCTGCCAGCGAGCCTTCGACACTCAGCGTGGCCTCAAAGTGCACCCAGCCTGGCACAAGCGCCGTGGAGACGTCACCGCCATTTGGTGGTGAACGGCGGTTGTTGTGGGAGACTGCAGAGAGCCAACGGCTATGGATCCTAGTATCGGAGCCGGTGGCCAAATCTCCAACAATGTGCCCGATCTTGTCAGATGTCCGAAGCTCTGCAGGTTTGAGTGTAGATAATGCTTTGATGAGTAACCCATCATGCGTGACCGGTGGTTGCGCATAGTGCTCGGTTACATTGTGAGTGACAAAGAACTGAAGCAAATTCCATTGATTGTTGTATCATGCTACCACGGATGGGCTTCCCCCACCCCACCTTTCGTCATCCTTGCACTGACCAGGGTGGTGATTTGCGATCAAACAACCTCGCAATGACCGACACAGTGCAGGGAAGCCTTCATCCAGCAGTGGATTTACAGAGGACTTTCGAGGACTTTAGGTTGTATTCGGTGCGGGCTGGTTAATGTGACACGCTTTAGACGACAGTCATTTCCTACATAAATGGCCGAGTGGCTGCGGGAATGTCAAATTTTAGATGCCCATGAGAGAATTTATTGAAAGTATCCATATGGTTCTGTACTTTGTAATTCAGTTTGAAGTCAATGTGTGCATCTTGAAGTCAACATGTGGAGAAAACGTGTATGTGATTCATCGCATGTAACGTTCAGCTTAATGTATTTTAATTCTGTGCATTGTCACATTTATTACTAAGCAAGTGTCTGGGTATAGAGAAATGCATTCATTCTAACCTATGATCTACATTTGCTTGCAGCATAACTGCAGCTGCTGCGTCTGTTGCAAATACTTTGAGCGTGAAGCCAGACAGATTATCGAAGGTGAGTCGGGCCTGCTTAAAGTGCACGTTGCACTTGCGACACGGCTGTTTGAAATACCTTCAACATCGGCCATGATCAGTCCACTGCCGGGTGACGGCCTCCCCCAAGCGGTTGCTATCACTCACGGTCCCGTGATGCAAGTCTAAACCTGCACCTGCTCGACCTAATTTCATTGCTCCCATCTCCGAGGTGGATGTTCTCCAGGGCATGTTCCCTTCTTGAGGAGTGTTCCGACCAATCCTACTTAATTTTCTTATCAGTCGATATGACTTATCTAATGTTTCTCTGTTCACTAATTTATGTCTCATGCTCTTAGCGTCGGTGTAATTATAAACATCCACCTCTACATACTCTTCTTCCTTAGTAGGCACTTCATGGAAACAACTGGATCCTGTGTTTGCCTTACCTGTCATAAAAATGTTTCACCATGGTTAATGTTTAAGAGGTAACTTCATTCCCAATTCAACAAGCAGTGTCAGACCAGCCCTGTAAGCGATAATTCTGTCGTTCTGCGATGCCACCTTGAGAATACTGGAGCATCAGCTTTCCCTTTTTAAATAGGCACGTAAGACATCCCGGCCAATATTGTAATTTAATTATGGTCATGGCTTATGACAAATGATAACATCAGAATCAGAAAGGGTTTTATTCGCCATGAAAGTTCACACAGACACGGAATTTACTTTGGCAGGATGGTGCATACATTCAACATATAGAAATCAAAAATCTTAAGTAAGTGGTAAACAACATAACATGCTATAGCTAAGAGTTTAATAGCCTGCATGAATTATACAGTGACTGGTCATTGTGGACAAATTATTGATATAAACGAAAGGCAAAATGTGCTCGATAGAGACTCGATTATATACTGTCGAAGTGTTAATTGTACAATGTATATTGTTGAATGCTACATTTAACTTAATTGTATAATGTCAAAATAAATGTATATTATTTATGTTGCAGAACAAAGCAAGTCAAACTCGCATTAAGTGTGAATCTTCTGCTGAAAAACTGGGTGAAAGTGGGTAAGTGTTGCAGCCTCACCTCCTGACCATAACTCTTGGTACATTCCTGTATTATAAATAGTTTTAACAAATGCCATCTTTCTGGGTATAGAACATACGTTTTACGTAAACATAACAGTGATATTCCAACAGAAATGCAGCTCTTGTACCCGTTGCCTCTACAGTAGTAATTTTAGCTTGACCCAACTTATCATCATGGTGTACCGGCACCAGGCCTAAATACTCACACTAATTGTTACTCGTCTGCCACTGCCCAGCAGGACCAGAAAGCAGAACGGATCGGACATCAGGCCAGTGTTTAAAGGTAAATGTGTACAGGCAACACTCCGGTGGTCCGTTTAATGTGTGTAAATTGAATCTTTTTTTAGAAAGAAAATTTAATTGAAGCATCAGCCAGCGTTAAAATATCCCCACATGCAAAGGTTAGCACATAACTAAGCGCCACGAAGAGCCATTAATAGTTGTGAAGTAGGGCTGTGTCACCTGACCCACCCCCTGGTGATTTGATGAATCAGGGTTGCGCTTTTATTCCAGAATCCGTTCCTTTTTTCCATTTGTGATGAATGTAGCAACCTCTAGCGGCCACAGAGACAATGTGGAATCCATCACATTCAACACGTAAAACATTGAACTGACGCATTATCCACATGTTCATTGTGAATGATCATCTTAATAATAGGGTTTTCCCCTTTTTTCTGGCAACAAAACTGAAACCTTTTTACAAGGATTCATGTCTGCATTAACCACAATACCTGCAGTCAAAATGCAAACAAAAAACATACTATGATAATATATGATGCATTGTCCTTGAAACTGATTGGTCCACACCAAGGGACGGCTTTCTTTTGAGCCTTGACCCAATTGGTGCTCGACCAGATGACGCCAACGTACAGCTCAAAGACAATGCACTATCAAAGTAATGAGGGCTCGGGGTGAGCATCTACATCTACATCACTAGACCTCCTTTGCCAGTACTGGCAAAGGAGGTCTAATGAAAAGATTATCTTGTTAAGTTATAATCATGTTCTAAGTTACATTCGCTGTCTTTTTGTGAGGAAGACCTTAGGTAACAGGTGCTAAAAATGAAAGTTCTTAATCTTAGTGATTCCTGATACAAAGTGCTTCACAATGTCAATATTTTTTGTTGACTTGGCTTTGTTGGAATTTGAAAGCTAAGGCTCAGCTTGTGTGGTTGACGGCACATTTAAGCGTAAAGCTGTTCAGAGGTCAGTGGATCAAAGGTTGGCAAGCTCAGAGCCGGCACTACCGTGAACCTGAGTTCCAATCCAGGCTGCTGCCCATGATTAAACTGATTTCCAAGTGCAGCGAGTTGGAAGTTTCTGCGGGAAGTCCTGTAAAATTCTCCGCCAGCCCGTCCCCGATACAGGGCACGTTTCTGAGATTTCTGAAGGGATTCTTTGTCTCGTGACATGACACTGGTACAACGGTTGGCATAAATTGAAGAAAAAGGCTAAAACCCGTTTTAATAAAAAAAAATATATGCAAATGGTCATGATAAAATATAGTTTATCATTAACGAAGCTTCAAACTCATGTTTGGACGGCCCACCACACACAATCTGCAAAATAAGAGCAGTTTGTGTTTTGCGTTGTCGTACCTTCAAGTTTTAGCATAATTTATTTTATTCTCTTCACCTTGCTATGTGCGGGGTCCACTGGGTGCATTGTGCATCAGAAGAACATGATTGGCAGAAAGTTGCAGGGGGGAAGCCAGGCTCATCTCACTCCACTAGAAGGGGTGAGTGACATAAATACACTGGGTCCAGGTCAGCCTGGTGAAGAACATTTTGTGCCCGATTGTTTGAGTGTTGCGATTGATCACGTTGATGGACGCAGTGCGTTTTGCTGTTCATCTCCTCAGAGTGCGCCACAAGTAAAAATTACAAGGAAGATGATGACGACAGGTGTGTACACTGCGACTGTATTATCATGTCAATAAATTGTGTGCACACCACGGGGGCACAAAGCAAATCAAGTAGTGAATCAGATTGTGATCCCGAATAGTGATTCTTCATTCAAACACAGAGGGGATAAATTGTCACAACCCTCGGGGGAATGATATCATTCGCATAACTTTGGCAACACTTTGAAACCAACACTTGAGCTAACCAACAGTGTATTTTTAAACGTATCTAAACCCCTCTGTGTGCGCGCCTGCAGTGGTGATGAGAGCGAAGGGGACGAAGTCGCCGAAGAACACGAGGATGAAAACGAGGCAGTAGCGGGAGCAGCGGAAAAAGAGAACCAATCGAAACATTCGGCGGAGGAAGACGTGGCGGCAGATGAAGGCAAGAGCAGCGGTAGTGGCAGCAGCAGCAACAGCAGTAGCAGCAGCAGCAGCAGCAACCAAGACGATGACGAGGCAGAGGATAATGATGTACAAGACGATGATGGCAGGGACACAGATGGGACGGCCAATGCGGCCGTCGTGGTGAAGGACACGCCGCGGGACGCGTACGACTTTGGCGGCAGCGACGACAACGCCGAGGAGGAAGTCGGAGCGTGTGGCGAGTGTGGGAGCGGCAGTTCCGTTGAATCGGATTCCGATTAGTGAGTCGCTTACACTCGGTGACCGCTCATCATACGCCCACACTGACCGCTCCTCATATGCCTGCGCTGGCCAGTGTGGTGAAGTTCGGTTAAAACAATCCTCACAATCTGCATGGTACGTAGCCAACTGTGCTAATCAGAGGTGTGGGGGAAGGACAACAAACTAATTCGTTTTCATATTTTGATTTAAAGCTTTCGTGACTGCAGTAATTCATATTCTTAGCTCTTTCGGTAAAGTCACGTTGAAGGGAAACAATAAAATAATAAAATATATATAAAACAATAAAAATTCTCACGACGTTTCGACCATAACACAAACGGTCGTCACCAGGTGTGTCGGTTCGCATTAATTAATTTAATTTTAAACGGTGTATTTATTTATTAAAAAAACCTCAGCGCCACGCGCAACGATTTGGCAGTTTATTTAGAAGGACTCGTCCATCTATGTTCTGAAAAGAGGAGGGGGGGGACGAAACATTTATGTATGCTGTCTGAAAGCCACTGTAAGCGTGAACAATCAATTAAGACCTGAAATGGTTTTTCAATTCTTTCCAATGATTGCTAAGCCAGAATCCATCTTCTCGGTTGAAATTGTCTCTTGTGCTTGTATATGTGGATAGTCTCATGAACGAATCTCTCATGGTAGCCAGATGGCTTACAAAGAACCTCTGTCTTGGAAAAGTCAATGTCATGTGAGCCTACTGAATTATAACAATGATCTGCCACGGCCGAGGTGTTGGTCCTACCGTGTTTAAGGTCTGCTTTGTGTTCACGAATGCGGTCCGAGACATGGCGTTTGGTTTCTCCAATGTAACTACTACCACAGAGGCAACTTAGTTTGTGGACACCAGGGTACTGTATGTCCGGAATCACATATTTTACAGACGGAACCAGATCACGGATTTTATGTAAGGTGTTGAAACGGACCTGGATCATGTGTTTATTCAAGATTTTGGATATCTTTTTTGTGATCCCTGCAATGTAGGGTAAAGTGATGGTTTTGAAGGCTCCTCAAGAGGGTCCTTCTTCATGGTTTGAGTGATAGCTTTGCGGATTGTATAGTCGGAGTAACCATTAGACTTAAGAGCTTGGTGTACGTGCTTGAGTTCACTGCCTATGTGTTCCTGGTCGGATATGCATTGTGCTCTATGGTACAAAGTCTTGATGAGAGAATTCTTCTGTGATGGATGGTGGTGGGAATCCGGTTTCAGATAAGCATCCGTATGGGTAGCTTTCCTGTAGACAGAGTGGCTCATTGAACCATCAGGTCTCTTTTTTATTAAGACATCCAAAAAAGGTATCTTGCCATCTTTTTCGACTTCCATGGTAAATCTGATGGCTGGGTGTATGGAATTGATGTGGTCGAAGAACTGGTCTAGAGCAGGCCGGCCATGTGGCCAGATGACAAAAGTGTCATCCACGTACCTGCCACCTAGAGATGTGATTCCGGACATACAGTACCCTGGTGTCTACAAACTAAGTTACCTCTGTGGTAGTAGTTACATTGGAGAAACCAAACGCCAGGTCTCTTTTTTATTAGGACATCCAAAAAAGGTATCTTGCCATCTTTTTCGACTTCCATGGTAAATCTGATGGCTGGGTGTATGGAATTGATGTGGTCGAAGAATTGGTCTAGAGCAGGCCGGCCATGTGGCCAGATGACAAAAGTGTCATCCACGTACCTGCCACCTAGAGATGTGATTCCGGACATACAGTACCCTGGTGTCTACAAACTAAGTTACCTCTGTGGTAGTAGTTACATTGGAGAAACCAAACGCCATGTCTCAGACCGCATTCGTGAACACAAAGCAGACCTTAAACACGGTAGGACCAACACCTCGGCCGTGGCAGATCATTGTTATAATTCAGTAGGCTCACATGACATTGACTTTTCCAAGACAGAGGTTCTTTGTAAGCCATCTGGCTACCATGAGAGATTCGTTCATGAGGCTATCCACATATACAAGTACAGAGACAATTTCGACCGAGAAGATGGGTTCTGGCTTAGCAATCATTGGAAATATTTGATAAACCATTTCAGGTCTTAATTGATTGTTCACGCTTACAGTGGCTTTCAGACGGCATACATTAATTTTTCGTCTCCCCCCTCCTCTTTTCAGAACATAGATGGACTCGTCCTTCTAAATAAACTGCCAAATCGCTGCGCGTGTTGCTGACGTTTTTTATAAGTAAATAAATACACCGCTTAAAAATAAATAAATTAATGCGAACCGACACACCTGATGACGACCGTTTGTGTTATGGTCGAAACGTCGTGAGAATTTTTAATTTTTATTGTTTTATATATACTTTATTATTTTATTGTTTCCCTTCAGCGTGACTTTACCGAAAGAGCTAAGAATATGAATAACTGCAGGCACGAAAGCTTTAAATCAAAATTTAATTAGTTTTCAATCTAATTAGTTTTCAATCTCGATTTAAAAGTGCATATCTCCAGTGGCTTCCTAATATGGGGAAGGAGCAGCATTCCAGACGGCTGCAGAAGCGCATCCGAAAGCACGCGATGCAGTAACCGTCCTTTGTTCGTACTGGTTAGAACCTATGATTCAAGGAATCAATCCCTGATGCCAGTCCACATGTGCTTTTGTCACCTTTATGCATGCTGCTGCAGTGACAAGGAAGGCAAGAAGCCGGGGCAGAACACCCCTGCACAAACACGGTGTGTGAAGTTTCAATGCTTGCACCTGCACAACGCATGGCAACAGCTGGTAATTTTTCGTTCACACGAACTGGGATTTGAAGCACAAGTGGCAGATCCCTGATATTTGTAAATGCGCCATGGACAGAGGCGCTCGGTGGGTAAGCAGGAACTTCGTCATCGATCCACAACGTTAATAACTAAACAACCCAATATAATACTCTTTGGGTTTTTCGGTAAAGCCACGTCGGTAGAAAAAAAAATATCACGACGTTTCGATCGCAACACCTGATGACGATTGCTTGTGTTGTGATCGTAACATCGTGATATTTTTTATTATTTTTTCTATCTACGTGGCTTTACCGAAAGACCCAAATAATATGAATTCCTGCAGTCACGAAAGCTTTACGCCAAGATTTAATCCAATATAAGTGTAATGTTAAGCTCGTCGAAGAAAAACGTGCTCTCTCTTTCAGGAAAGGTGCCAAGGACATTGGAGATGATGACAAACCAAAGAAAAGGTAAATCCCATCCTACAAATCATGTCTTGTGACCAAGTAATCTAGGATCCTACCCTATTGCGTCAAATCTCAGAAGCCAAGCAGGGTTGAGCCTAGATCGTGGTAGGATGGGCAACCTAAATCAATAACAGGTTTCTATAGGCTGCAGGGCTATGTTGTCGACAGGAGAGAGGAGCGGTGCAGCAAAATCCAGTGTTTTACTGTTTCTCTGCTCCCACATCTATGCACCCCGCCTTCGTCGACCCACACACTCCGGCGTGCCAAAGTGTGCTCAAATGATTACCACTACTGGCATGTCGTGAAGAGGCCGTTTACACTTTTGTACAAAGAAATATAAACAGAGGATGGGTCAAAAATACAAATACAGTTATCGTGTATCAGAACTGCTTTTTGTATTTAGTTTGTTGTCCTTCCATAGCACCTGGCTTCGTACGGTACCAAAGAAGTTCAACCTCCATAGGGCTGTACATCCAATATAATCAGTCATTGCGCACTGAAAGTGGAACGAAAGTGTTGCTGTCCTGTTTCCTCTCAACAGGAAGTATCAGAAGAAAGACCCTAACGAACCTACCACCCGTAAAGTAAGGTGTGTTGGGAGTTTGTTTTATGGAGCCTTTCTGGATTTGCAGTCTTTTGGGCTGGATATTACTTAATTCTCATCATCCTCTAGGTGGCAGGCCTATCAAATCCATGAATTCACGCTGGTAATTAACTTGAAGACAGTGACATTTTATATTATCACAAAATATGTCACCAGTCAATGTGGTATAACATTATATGGTAGGAGTAATAATTAATATGATCCCACAGCATTCAAATTTAAAAAGTTAACGATTGTTCAAAGCATCTTACCACATTTTCCCCAAATAGTGAATTACACCACTGGATAGCCTCTTGTTGAATTTACTTGCCATTGAATCAACAAATGGCAAGCATTCATTCGGTTTAGGTCCAACCTTGTGGTATTCACACTCAATAGCTTTATGAAGGACACTGTCAGCTGTAGAATAGACATCAGAGTTCAATTATGTCACTCTGCAGAATAGACCAACATGCCTGATTGTTATTGAGACCATTTTAGCAAGTGTCATTTTTGGACGTTATGTAACACTCAATGTAATGAACAAAATGAAAGTGCAGAAAGTAATTAAAAAAACGTGAAAACATAAAGCACTAGATTGATTTAATTTGCAGTATTTACAATCTGTAATAAAACCAGTAAATTTGCCGTTACGGAAATACGATACAATTTGAATTCATAAAAGCGTCCGATTGCATAATGAGAGTGTGAAATCTGATTGCAACATCAGAAATGTCAGCGTATAATTGAACACCACACTCACAAATGAACTGCTAAACTGATTGAATACGATACTGGTTCATTCATGTCACAAATGTTTATGATGCTGGCCCTTGTTCAGTGTGAAGAAATAGCAGCTTAGACAGATGTTGCGTAAAGCAATATGTGCAGTGTCCAAACGGAGTCAGCTGTGGCCATTGGGACTGCGAGTGGTGTTTATGTACGTAACCACTGTACGTATCCAACCGTGCTAATCGGAGGTGCGTTGAGCCTTACTGGAGCAACACGCGTCCCATCCACAGGAGGAAAACCAAGCAGATGGACGCCGATGGGCTGCCCGTCCTCTACCACTGCACGCAGCTTGGCTGCGAGAAGGTCTACCGTGTCAAGGAGTACCTAACAGTACGTGCTGTACTTTGCTTTGCGGGGCTGTGTTGGTGCGGGGCAGCAGTGGGCATTGAAGCAAAATCCTTTGTTTTACTGCCACATCTAAGCTCCCCGTTTACAACCCATACTGACCAGCGTGATGAAGACTGGTCAAATAATCCCCACAACATCCCACGCCACGTCCAGCAGTGGATTGGCAAAGGGCTTTAGTGTTACTTTGCATATGGGGGATAGGATAAGGACCAAATCACCCCTCGACGGCGCCACGGTGGCGAGATGTTAACTCTCTCGCCTGGTATAGAGGAGGTTGTGGGTTCAATCGCGACCCTGATGCCTGCATATTTGGAGTTTGCATGTTTTCCCTGTGGTCGCGTGGATTTTTGTCCGTGTCCTCCGGTTTGTCCCTCCATATTTAGAAACGTGCGTTTAGAGTATTTGGCTGCTATAAATTTTGCAAATGATGAGCCACTTAATTGAGATATAATTTGTGGCCAAGTCGCTTCTGAAAAAGAGCTACATTGCTCAAGTGAGCCTTACCCAGTCAAATTAAAAAAAAAATGCTTTTGGTTTAAATATGTACAAAGGTAAAAGTACGTAATGTGCTCGTATTTTTCGAAGTACCGACCTCTTTTTACCGCGGCCGCTTCGGATGGCGCGTAACATTTGCTCGGCCGTGTCCATGTCACTTGCGCAGAACCACGTGAAGGCTGTGCACGGCGACCGCAAGCTGGTGTGTGGCATGCAGGGCTGCGGCAAGCGCTTTGTTCTGCCTCGCCACCTCAAGAAGCACCAGCTTCTCCACTCGGGTGAGCGCCCCAACGCTAGAACGTGTTACACTTCTCTCTCGTCTCTTGTGGGCACCGTTGTGGCGAGGAGATGTTAAACCCCCCCACCCCTTGCCTGGTATGAACGAGGTTGTGGGTTTGATCCCAGCCCTGATGACGCTTGTATATTTTGAGTTTGTATGTTTTCCCCCCGTGGGTCGTGTGGATTTTTCTCCGGGATCCTCTGGTTTTGCCCTCCACATTAGTAAACGTGTGTTTAGATTATCATACTATGATAATATATGCATTGTCCTTGAAACTGATTGGTCCACACCAAGGGACGGCTTTCTTTTGAGCCTCGACCCAATTGGTGCTCGACCAGATGATGCCAAAAGACCAATCAGTTTCAAGGACAATGCAGAAATTATCATAGTATGTTTTTTGTTTGCATTTTGACTGCAGGTATTGTGGTTAATGCAGACATGAATCCTTGTAAAAAAAGGTTTCAGTTTTGTTGCCAGAAAAAAGGGGAAAAAACCTTATTATTAGATTTTCTTTTCAATCAGTGTCTTGAGACGCATGTCCAGTTAGATGCTTTGTAAATTCAAAGTTTCCTTGTACTGCGATTGTTTACAGACGAGAGGAATTTTGTATGTGAGACGTGCGGAGCTTCGTTTAAATCCAAGAAGAACCTACTCATCCATCTGAGGATCCACACAGGAGAAAAGCCCCTGCAGTGAGTGCTTCATCACAGATGTTGCTCTGAGATCATCTTCATTATCATGTGTGCAGGTGCCATGTGGTTTATAATATTTCAGGATCATGAGAGATCACGGTGGATTGGAAAGGTCATTCTGAGATGCTTTGTTTTAATACGAAACAGTTTAAGAAATGCAAATGTTTAAATTAATCTCATTTTTATTTATGAATCAGTACACTTTTATTTAGTTTTATTAAAAGCATTTGTTGTGTTTAGTTTTGTATTTTCGAAAAACACGTTTTACCAAGGTATCGTATTAATCTGAAGTTGTACGGCTCAATGATGAATATTTTTCATAATATTCTCGTAATTAGAATGTCAAATTCAATATTTTATGCAAGTTTACAGTTTTGTCCAGTAACCTAGTGATGAACAGATTAACATGTATATATGCACACATTTAGATGCGCTGATAGAGAAGTGAGTGCAGTATGTGTTCAATTGATATGAACTTCCAAAACTAAGCATTTGAATGTGACATTAAAACGTTACGACAAATACTTTTCCACATTATGGATAGACTGATAATACCTTTCCACCACATTCAGTAAACTTTTCTGCTGTAGATGAAAATTTCATCAAAATGTTAGCCGAGTGTTAATATCGATTTGAAGCCTCATGAGTCGTGAGTATTTCTTTTCAGGCCATTCTTGTGCATCCGTGAACTGCCAACACCACCATCCCCTAACGCTTCATCCGATGCGAGACATTGTTCTGCGTTCATCTTGGCTATGGGCATTGGACGGCGTGAATAAATTTTTGTTATTATTTTTGCCTTCCCGATCACGCGCGCGTTTTCAAAGGTGCGAGCTGTGCGGGTACCGCTGCCGGCAGAAGGCGTCGCTCAACTGGCACATGCGCAAACACAACATTGAGCTGAGCTTCTCGTTCGCGTGCGACCTCTGCGGCAAGCGCTTCGAGAAGAGCGACAACCTCCGATGCCACCAGCTCAAAAGTCACCCCGACCGGGAGCCGGGCAACCCATACCCCGAGGCCGCGCCAGTGCAGCCACACGCTTGCTGACAGGACTTTGCGCCGTCTTGCATTTCGAACAAGTAAGATGCGCAAGCTGGCCGAGGACGAATTTTGCACCCAGCAAACTCTGGATCCGCCAACCATGACATCCGGTGGGATGGCATAGGAGCAAGTTGTGGACTCGGCGTACACCACATAGACTTGTTACTAATAGGTTGCTGTAAAACCAATTGATGTGTCTTTGTGTGTGTACACGAGTGTATATGGGGACAGCGGTATTTACAGTGGTTTAGTGCGCTGAGCTATGAACCATGCAAACGGAGTCCCGGCCACAGCTGACATCAGTGGCAAACAATATCAGAACTTGTTTTGGGCCACTCTTTAATCAATCTGAGCGTCAAACGAGTACTTTCTGAGGTATGTAAATATCAGAATTTTTTTTCCAAAATCAGAATATCTATACTGGAAGAATCTGATGAGCTATGAAGCTCTTTTTTTTACTTTTGTCCAGTAGGGGCGGGTCAGAATGTTACAACAATAAACAATAGAAAAACACGATAGAAGTGCAAAGTATAGAAAAGGTAAGCAAATCACGAATATTCTTGGTTCTTTCGGTAAAGTCACGTGTGGTTTTCACACCTGATGATTGCTTGTGTTGCAGTAGAAACGTGAGAATTTTATTGTTTTATATTTTTATTATTTTATTGTTTCCCTTCTACGTGACTTTACCGAAAGAACCAAGAATATGAATCCCTGCAGTCAGGAAAGCTTTAAATCAAAATCAAATCACGAATGTTAGGCCACACCAGCATTTGGCTCAGAAGTAAGCTATAATGAAGGATCTTTTACTTTATTTGTATGTGCGTTTGCATGTCTGTAATGTACATATTTTTGACATATCAACTCAAGTGAAGGCATGTTACCCCGTTTTAAATGAAGACAACAGATCCGTCAAGTTACAATGAACCCCACCACACACCTCGGCTATTTCATGAATTGTCACAAGTTGGAGTTGCAGTGCATTTCATTCTTACTGTTATTTATATTGTTTCTCATTTTTTGATGCATTATTTGTACAGTTTTTGTCGCCTCCAATTTCACGCAATTTTCATGAACCATAAATAAGCAACTCTCGCGAACACAATTGAAATCATTTATTTCAAATATCAGTTTAAATCGATTACTCGGTGCATAAAGTATTTACATGCCTAGTTACATAGGTGGTGTGTCTGATACTTGAATATTGCGATCAAGCGCATCGTCAATCGAATGATGTTACTACGTCCCCCCCCGTGTACTGCTTTTGCCGTTTTATAATTTACTAATTAATTATCATTGTGCTATCGGCTTTAACAAGAGATGGGCATTTCAATAGGCTGCTTTGTACCTACACTAAAACGATACTGTTTATATACACTACAGTGTTCATCACATGCCAGTCCGGTTTTGTTTAATTCTCAAGAGCTGAATTAAACAATTAAAGAAAGAAACAATGTAATACAATGTTTTTTTGTGCAGTCATTGATAATCGATCTGAGACCATCAACTCATGACCACTGGTGGAGCCAGTGGGGGGGGGGGGGTAGCACGTGCCCCCCCCCCCAATGTTCCGATCGAAATCCCTAATTTAGATCGGATCATTGGGGTTTATTAGTAATAAATTGGCATTTTGCGACTCCCACTGCCACTGTGTAGCATATTGTTATGTGCCAGGGACTCTATGAGATGAATGGCCAATAGTCCTGAGTCCATAATTGGCAATAAGTAACTCAGAATTGTGCGCAGTTGCGTACACAGTACACGACTTACCTGAAGGCATACCTTCAGCGAGCGCGATGTCGATCACATACGGTTCGAATTCAACCCTCGATCGATGGCTGTGCCATCGCCACACACACGTCGAATAAAAAGCAAGAGACAAGTCCTTACTAATAACTCCTATAATTTTTCATTGCTAGAGGGGTTGCTCCCCCTACCTGAAAATCCTGGCTCCGCCATTGCTTATGACAGTAAAAGCCAGGTTGAGATCACGGGTAGTGGTGCCCATGTCATGGTCTTCCTGTACAACATTTATTTAAAAACACAGTAACATCATTGCAGTGGCATCACTATAGCACAGTGACTGAGGGCCTGACCGAGAATTTCAAGGTGTATTTTAATTAAGAAATATGTAGTAAATAAAACCCATTTGTTATAGTTGAGTCTTCAAAGCAATTATTGATGCTTATTTCTATTGAGAATCTGGCGATAGAAACAATCCACATTCTTGTAGCATGGTTGTGGCACTAATTTTGAACAACTAATTCAAGCCAAGTAGTGGTCACCAGGTGGTACTCGACCTGACTCGGATTTCAACTGATAGGAGAGTGTTGTCTCTCAATTGAGATGCCTCGGCATTATACTCTTATATAAGCGCACAACTTTATCTGTGATGAACGCTGCAGTTTCTGTCGTTTTCATGCAGGGGGCGCTGCAGACCTACGCGCCCCCTGCATGAACGACGGAGGCGCAGGGACAGACGTTCGATTACGTTGGAATCGATCTGCAGACGGCGGTCTTCTCGCACGGCCAGCAGCTCAATGTCGCATTATCTCGATCTCGCAATCCCAAACAGGTGAAAGTCCGCATAGAACCGAACCCCCAACATGGCCATCTACTTAACGAGAGAAAATTCACACGAAATGTCGTTTTCAATTAAGTCTTCCAGATGTAAAATTATGAAAGATTTTATTGAAGAAATACAATTATCTAATTCAAAACATAATGCAATTCAAAGATGTTTCAATTTAAAACTTGAAAACGGAGCATCGGGTGCTTGCGTGAATGCGTCATTCGTGTGCAATTTTTTGTGTGACTTTCCAGGCTGAAGGCCGTAAACAACTCCTAGTACTAATATAATGAGCCAAGAATTTGTGTCCCACGTGTGACGTCACTCCACATGAGGCACACACCCCCGTGTGACGTCACTCCACATGAGGCCCACCCCCCCTCATTAATATTCATGAGTGGGTGGATTTTTGCACGAACGCAGAGGAAGGTCGAGCTGAATTAAATAATTTAGTATGCAAAGTCGCTTCAAATATGACGACGTTTCTTTACAGAAAGTGACGGTAAAAAATAAATATACGCAGCACAGTGCTACATCCGTGCGTGACGTCACTGCAAAAGAGCCCCCCCCCCCTTCATTAATATTCATGCGCGCGTGTAAATTTATACTAACGCACAAGGTCACGCACTCCACATGCCGCACCCCTCCCCTCATGAGCAGGTGGCGTCACTCTACATACCGCACCCCTCCACAATAACCATTAACGGGTGACGTCACTCCACATGGGGCAGCCCCCCCCCTCATTAATAATCATGAGCTGAACAATTTTTCTATTGAATATTTAAGATTTACTGCAATATCCACCCGTCCTTGGGACGGGCAAAAAAGCTAGTTGTGTAAATTTAAGTGTACAGACATGTTTTGTGTACATAGCTTTAAAAAGAAATGTGTATAGTATTTATGTGTGCGGATTTGATTTTGTCGTATTCGAGTGCAGAATATGTACAGCTTCGATTGTTGTGCATGTTCTGCGTTTTAGTGCCGATTTGTCTGTAAAATGTTGATTGTGGTCAGCCTCTCCTGAAATAATGGTTCATTCTCAGTAGCTGGTGGGAACGGTTGCATTTGCCAACTTAAATGGAGTGCCGGCATTATTCCCATAGGTGTCGCCAAGGATCTCAAGCAGTGGGAAGAAGAAAGTACATCCTGCTACTTGTGATACTTGGGAGTCCTAGATGTTTAAATTGGGAATACAACATGAATATTTGTAAACGTATACCCTATGTCATGATTACCACATTGATGTAGAAGTACAGTCTTTTAAAGGATCCAGGCACACATTAAATATGGATACCCAGATAAATAACACTAGGTCAGTGGTTGAAATGTATGAAATTTGTACAAGGTAGTCTTACCATAAGAGTATCCCCATAGTATCAATATTAGCAGTGTTTAAACACTGCTGGTTAATAATCCACCCTGACTATACTGTCACAATCAGAATAATATCTGTAAAGTGGTCAGTTCGTTGATGAAACTGGGTAGCTCTAGCCTCAGGGGTGGGGAACGTCCGGCCCGCGGGCCGTATGACGCCCGCAAAATCATTTGGTCTCTGGCCCTGCCAAGGCAACCGCAGGCGGGACTCGAAATTCAATAAATCTAGGAGCATACCTGGAAAAGCAGTTGCGAGTAGCAGCAACATCATCAATACCGGCTAACATCATCACACGCCTCACCAAAGAGAAGCAGTTCCAGCCATCACATTAGGGGTGAGTTGATTAAATGTTTGACCAAATATAACATGCTAATTTTTAAGTTGATAATTTTGTACGGCACACGAATGATGTTATAAATATCCAAATGGCCCTTGGCAGAAAAAAAGGTTCCCCATCCCTGCTCTAGAGCAACCTCATAGGACTGCAGATGAGATAATTTAATGACCCTAACCCCCAAACAATGTCCAGGATACAAAACAAGTGACATGCCAACAATACTTGAACAAACTTGGGTATCTCCTCCCCTTTTGTTTGCCATGACATCAGCTCATGTTGAGATTGGGCATTGGTGTTTTTAAGGTGTATCTACTATTCAACTTACTCATCAACAGGTCATAACATCCGTTTATATTTTTTGCCCAGAAGCCGGAATAGTTTTCCCTGACCATTAAAGCGATGGTCCAGTGCCAGCGAAACTTATCACTGCTAAATAGTATGTTCCATTGTATTACAACAGTCGCACATTTCTCATAATGCAGTGGTTCTTAACCTGGGGTCCGAGATGCCCTTTCTGGGGGTGCGAGACATGGCCAGATTTTTAAAGAAGGTAAAGCATAGAAAAACAAATTAATCACGGGCACGTTAAGTACAGCTACTTTGTTTCATCAAACCAACGCATTTATTAACATACATTTGTTTTACGATGGAGAATTAAATGGGAGCAAGGCTGCATTAAAGGTTAAGAACCACTGTCCTCATGTGTGGAGAGTTTGCTGATGCTATTGGAATACAATTCATGTTTTTGGATTTAAAACCAGGCTTACAGGACTGGATTTTAAACTTTAAATCTTGAGACTAACTTTTAGGAATTGATACCTACCACGTCAATATTAAAAAAAATACTATGCCATGCATTTACAAGAATGTCACCGTCAACGCTTGCATTCCATCATTGTCAGAGGAAAACGTTTTCTTACTCTTCCCCACAAGGTCAGATTATAACCGTATGCTCTACCTTACAATAACATCATGCACACCATTCATACCATTCCGCAATAACAAATACCAATTCTGTGGACGTCAGTCCTCACATTGACAGCCTCATTATGAGAACGGTGGTTCACATCATAGGTCCACAATGAAATAATGAATTCGCATATCTTCTAAACATTCCCTATTTGAAAAACATTTTTTTATATATAAAAAAAACATTTATCTGCAAGTATTCACTTCCCCTTACTAACTTGCACACTGTCTGCCAAGTCCTGCTTTGTAAATATGTGAATTATGATG